TCCCCTTGACTGTCAAGCCAATTGAGAAGTTGCAACTCAACCACATGACTCTGGGACTGCAATTGTCCTGAATGTCAATTGCCAAGCACACAAATCTTGATGCCGTGACTGGGAATTGTAAATGCAAAGACTAGTTGTCCGTTACTTTTTTCTGTGCTGTTGTAACTGGTCATTAAACACGGTTATAAGTTGACCAGCTGTCATAAGGCAGAGGTCTGTTTTTCAGATTTTTGTCAACACGATGTGAAAACAAGTCACTGGATGTGAGTTGAGCAACCGTATATATTTGTTTAATTAAAAAAAACCAAATAGGCAAGAAAAGTCCTCATTAGTATGCTTAACCCCTTTCTCAGAAGGCCATTAAAATTCTCGAAGTCCAGCTTCTTAAAAATGCAATTATCATCCCCTTTTTCAAAGAAGTATCGCCACATTTCCATCAGAAGAACATATAAATCATGGATGAAACCATGTAACATCAGAATTCTAGGATAAGGAATTTAAGAGATTATCCCAGTGGAAATAGGGAGATTATGAGTATATAAACCAATATTCCAAAATCCAGTGACTTCTCCAAAAGAGCATTTTTCTTGAGATCTTCCATGATCCAGCCACGTAGTTTCAAGACAGCCGTGAAAACATGGCTTCTGAAACAGGGTGTTAAGAAAACCCACTGTTGCAATGTACTAATTACAGACGTTTCCCCCTGGCATGGCCATATTAATAATGATAACATAATAATATAACAATAATGTTGGAAGGGACCTTGGAAGTCATCTAGTCCAACTCCCTGCTCAGGCAGGAAACCCTATACCACTTCAGACAAATAGCTGTCCAGTCTCTTCTTTAAAAACTTCCAGTGTTGTAGCATTCACTGCTTCTTCCACTGGTTAATTGTTCTGTCAGGAAGTTTCTCCTTGGTTCTAGGTTGCTTCTCTCCTTGATTAGTTTCCATCCGTTGCTTCTTGTCCTGTCTTCAGTTGCTTTGGAGAATAGCTTGATTCCCTCTTATTTGGGGCAGCCCCTGAGATATTGGAACGCTGCTATCGTGTCACCCCTCATCCTTCTCTTCATTAAACTAGACAAACCCAATTCCAGCAACCGTTCCTTATATGTTTTAGCCTCCAGTCCCTAATCATCTTTGTTGCTCTTCTCTGTACTCTTTCTGGAGTCTCAATATCTTTTTTACATCGTGGTGACCAAAACTGGATGCAGTATTCCAAGTGTGGCCTTACCAAGGCCTTGTAAAGTGGTATTAACACTTTGCGTGATCTTGATTCTCTCCTTCTGCTAATGCAGCCTATTAACATATTTTCACGCTTGTAAGCTGCCCAAAGTAGTGCATAAATGTGGCCATAAAAATCAAAATTATAACTAAATAATTGATTCACCCATTATAGAAAGACCCCAGCACTGAAGAAAGTAACATGACCGTTTTCCACACTTACGTCCGTTGCAGCATCCCCCTGGTCACGTGATTAGAATTCGGACGCTTGGCAACTGACTCGTATTTATGATGGTTGCAGTGTCCTGGGGTCATGTGATCACCTTTTGTGACCTGATGAGCAAAGTCAATGGGGAAGTCAGATTACAAACAACTGCAACTGATTCTCTTTTAACTGTGGTAAGGTCATAAAATGGGGCAAACTCACTTAGCAAGTGTCTCGCTTAGCAACAGAAATTTTGGGCTCAATTATGTTTGTAAGTTGAGGAGTACTCGTATTTTAAATTCCCATTACAGCATTTGATGCACCTTTCAGATCTGAATGAACTAAGTATAATATTTTTTATTATTTTAGGTCTTGAGTGAATTAAATATAATTTGGCCTGATAGCTAAACTGAGCAGGGTACTCTGTGCATGAAAATGATCTGGTTGTTTAGACTTCGCTTGTGATAATAGTTTGAAAGGACCGCCCTGGGAATATCTTTTATTTCTGTGGCATCAGTATATATCTTTTTCTCAAACAAAATTGCTGTCCTCTTGATGCAGTTCGATCAATACATTTGCTCGGCCTTTGGTTAAGATCAAATGTCAAAAGCGGGGGAGCGTTTATTGTGTTGACATATAGGCAAGGCTTTTGGTTGTACTTGTGTGTTTTTTCAGCCTGAGACAAGTTGCATTGTCATGTTTTGGCTACCCAGATAGTTTTAAGACTCCAGTAACCGCATAACTTTTGCAGTTTTGCAGAAATACCAGTTTAAAAACGAGCTCTTTATAGATTTCACACAATATTAAGTCCTATTTTCTGCCTGGAAATTTATTTATTTATTAATCAAATTTATATAGTTGCTCATCTCCCCCAAAGGGGACTCTGGACGATGCACAACAATAAATAAAACAGCCAATATAAAACCAGTAAAAATCTTTAAAAGTCACAATAATTCCTTTTCTTTCCTGAAGTCAATGGGAAAAATGTAGCAGAAATATTTTTATAGCTTTAAAACTCTCCTATCAGTATTGTTCTTCCATTCAAAGAAATGAAAGTCATAGAGAAAACATATTAGAAATAATTTGGAGTGGGAACCTCCAACATTAAGGGAGAAATATTTAAAAAAAATGGGTTGGAGAGCTGAACCAGATATAATGAAAAACACCTGGTTTCATTTTCTTTAGTAACCCAACACAGTTTTATTTCTGGACTTATTGACACACTTGGTATTTTCACTACCAATAATCCCGTTAGATTCTTCTCTAAAACTATTCTTCACCATGAAAATGTATCTTACATACATATTAGTTGAACGAAGATGCTATCTTACATATATAAACTTGATGGTTTGTTTAATGTTTTTGTATAGCTATTCCATAAGTAGGTTTCTTTCCAGGTCTTATGCATTTCTGTGTTGGCCCTGGAAATTTGACATCCCAGCTAGTGCTCAGTTTATCTGAAGCTTATCAGTAGATTGCTTAGTAAGGCTGTCAGCTTTTTTTTGATGATGAATTTTGTTGTATTATGGATGTAGCCCTGAAGTTCCTATGTTAAATTGTAGAAAAAGCATTGCACAACCTCATTCTTCTTCCTCTTCCACCGCTCTAAAGAAAGAGAATATTGCTATATGATAAAATCTTTATCCGGAGCTCATAAAATATTGTATTTTTGCACTGAAATTCTTCCATCAAGGGATTAGGATGAACATGGTTGGGTTGTATGCCCACAGTGCTGATATTCCCTGGAGGACAATAAGGTAAGGCCCTTTTATTTTACTTATTCTTTTATTTTTTCTTTGCAAGGAGAACTGTCTGCCCCTTTCCTGAATGCCAGAAGCCCGTCAGTGCTGCCTTTCTGTCTAAAAATCAAAATACAGCCAAGAATTTATCCAAATCCATTAGATTCTGTGCCTGTACGGCGGTCCTCCGGGCCGCTAGGGGCCGCCAGGAAAGGCGCAATTCCGCTTCGCTTGCTTGCTCTGCTAGACCGACCTTTCTAGTTCCTTTCCCAAGAGCCTTTGCTCCCTTTCCGATCGGGAGCTGCCAAGATGGTGAGAGAAGGGGCGAAGCAATCCGGGGCCATCCGTGGCGGCGGCGGCGGCGGGAGAGAAATGCGGGGCGGTCTCGGTAGCGTCCGGGAGAAGGGTCGGTGGGCCCCTCGGTAAAATCGATCCTGACGGCCGGCCTGGCCTCTTCCGGGGGATTTCTTCCCGCCGTAGAAATGGCTACGGGAATGGAGGCTGCGGGGGAACAGCTAGGCCGGGCGGGCTCTGGAGGCTTCCAAGGGCTTGACGGGATCCAATCAGGGGCTGCGGAAGCGAAAGGGCCGGGGGTCCTCCTCCCCCCCCCGTTTTGGGGGAGGAAAAGAGGCGTCGTTGGGGGTGGGGCTCACCTGCCTGCCTCTCCCCCCCCCGCCTTGCTGCTTGAAAAGCTGCCTGGCAGGCAGAGATCCCACAGGTAAAGATTCCCTCCCATCAAAATGATGCGTTTGCATGGGAGGATAGTCAGCGCTGTAGGCTTGCCAGGGGGAATTTCACCTGCGGGGGGGGGGCGAGGGAAAATAATAATCCCCTGATGGTTTTGGACTTAACACACCTGCCTTTTCTAGCCTGCCTGGTCTGTGTGGGTGAATGGTAATGCCAGGTTGTCTGTTTATATGGATTGGGGCAGGGGTCTTCAATCTTGGCCCTTTTATGACTTGTGGACTTCAACTCCCAGAATTCCTCAGCCAGTGTGCCTGGCTGAGGAATTCTGGGAGTTGAAGTCTACAAGTCATAAAAGGGCCAAGTTTGAAGACCCCTGTACCAGAAGGACCTCTTCTTCATGCCTGGCTGAGGAATTCTGGGAGTTGAAGTCCACAAGTCATAAAAGAGCCAAGTTTGAAGACCCCTGGATTGGGGGGATAAAAGCAGCAGAATTCTTTAACTGTTTCTTTCTCACTTTCCGTACTGTACACTTTGAGGTCAGGTGTTGCTTCATTCAGCCTCATAAACTATAGTTTGTAACTGCTTACATATTAAGGCAAAAGCTATCCAATCCTGTCATGATTTAGTGCAATGTGTGAACTCTGTCATCAGGTACAGACAAATCGATAAACCTTTAGAAAAAGACATTTTTTTTTCCTAAAAATTGCAGAGTTTCTTAAGAAAGAAACTCTATAGTCCAGCTTGTCATCCAGGAAAGCAGAATTTCTGAGGCTTTTCGGTCCCAAGTACTTTTCAAGGGGAGATGCAGGCTGGAGAATTGGGTCATCCCCGGTTTCAAATTTCTTGGGTGTTTGCAACATTCGAAAGTCTTAATTCCTTAACTGGCTGATGTATTGGTTTCTTTGGATCTTCTTAGGGGCGTGTCCGTACGAAGACGGTGAAAAAAGCAGCCCGGGTGATCATTGAAAAATATTACACTCGCCTTGGAAATGACTTCCACACAAACAAGCGAGTGTGCGAAGAGATCGCCATCATCCCCAGCAAGAAACTGCGGAACAAAATCGCTGGGTAGGCAAGCTTGCTGATGCGACTCCGTGCAAAGTTTTCACGTGGTCATTCTAAATCTTGATTTTTGCTCATTAGCAGAACCTGCGTCGAAAGTGATTTTGGTCTTGTTGGTGGCCTGGTCATTGATAGTGCAGGAAAAGCATTATTGACAGCATTTCCCGTGTTTGGGGGATTAATTTATTCCTACCAAACCCTGAGCTTTTCAGACATTACTAAAAACTGGGTTGTTTGAACAGAGGCAACCACTTTGTTCTTGATTTGGCATTTTTCTATACTTGAAACGTTAAGGCTAAGCTTTGTTGAGTCAGTTCAGAGCTTATTGAGATTTATTGAATGCCTGATTGTTTTTAGGGGGACAGAAATCACAGTGAAATATACTAGAAACCCCCCCCCCCGTCCTTCTCCACAGGTATGTCACCCACCTGATGAAACGCATTCAAAGAGGGCCAGTCAGAGGCATCTCCATCAAACTACAAGAAGAGGAAAGAGAAAGAAGGGATAACTACGTCCCAGAGGTAAGTTTTATATCTCAGGATGAGCTTCATAGAGCTTTCATGTCTTAAAATTAAGTAAAAGCATATTTAGCTCCAGTAAAACTGGCGTGCCAAGAATTTTCTCTGAAATATATAAGTCATCGTAGCAAAACATAGTTTCTGGGTTATCTGTAATCTTACCTAATAAAGCTTTTTTTCTGGTCAATAAATTGGGATTTAAATCACTACTGAGAATTAATAAAAGCTAATGTGGATTTAGGAGCAACGTATTCAGTTTAGGATCATTCTGGGCTCAGAATCACTCAGCTGCCTTGAAGTTGTCAAACTTGTCATCTGTAAGGCGAAGGTGTGACTTTAACGCAGGGTCAAACTGCTGGCCTGTGGGCCAGAGGCATCATAGCAAAACTGCACCCACCCCATTGCCGGCAATGGGGGGAAAGTCATGATATGTCACGTGACGTTGCCAGTTTGACACCCCTGCTTTTAAAGCGTCAGAAGAAGGATACATGAACCAAATACATTTTAGGAACTTGTTCTTGTAGGAGCGTTACTGTGGTTGCCTGTGTGAATGGGGCCTAGCATTAGGTCAGGGAATACAGGTAGCCCTCGACTTAATTACAATTTGTTTAGTGACCATTCAGAGTCAACAGCGGCATGGAAAAAAGGGGACTTATAACCATTTTTCTCACGACCGTTACACCATCCCCATGGGTCAGGTGATTAAAATTCAGATGTTTGGCCACTGATTCATATTTATGACCGTCGCAGTGTCCCGGGGTCATGCAAAGTCAATGGAGAAGCCAGATTCACTTAATGACCGGGTCACTAACAACAATGTTGTGATTCCTCGCCAGCCAGTGGACCTGGCAGCTGAGTCTGAGGAAACAGAGGAAGAGGAGGAGGGGCCTGGAGTGATATCAGAGGAAGGCTCTGAGGAGCTCCAAGACAGTCTGACTAGAAGCCTGGCCCCTCTACTTGCACTCAGGTTGAGACACAGCTGTGCTGGGAGCCTGAGCTGGACAGTGATGAAGAACAGCTGGGAGATATCCCGGATGCACAAAAACGCCGGCAAGAAAAGAGAGTAGGACAGAGGAATGCAATGGGGTGGCTCAAAGACAAAGGAGAAGGCATTAGGAAGCCACGCCTTGGCTGCATAATAAAAGGGAAGGTGTGGGAGGTGCTGTTTGCCGAAGGCACAGAACAAACAAGTGCAGTCATTCACTTAACAACTTTGGCAAGAAAGGTCATAAAAGGTGGCAAAATTCGCTTAACAAATGTCTTCCCTTAGCAACAGAAATTTGGGGCTCGTGGTCGTAAGTCGAAGACTCCCTGTAGCGCAGAAGTTGGCTTCCCCAGATGAACCGAGCCTGCATTCGAAAGTGATGGCGGCCTTCTGCCTGTGGCCTCGTCATTGATAGTGCAGGCAGAGAAAGCCTGAAGGCATTTCCCGTGTCTGTGGAGCCTCTTCCCATCTCCTTCAGACCCTGAGCTTTTCAGACACGGTTTTAATCTAGCCCAATAGCGTCTGAGACTTTGCACTTGATTTTAGAAGTCTTAATCACAGTAGTTTTGATTGCTTTTTTTCCTCATTAACATAAGGGCACTCTTGCTGTACTATATTCCTCATTAACATAAGGGCACTCTTGCTGTACTAAAACGATGCAGTTGTCTTTCTGCGTGGCTTATGTCTTGACAGAAATATGTGTAAAATATTTGCTCACACAGTCTTGATTTCTTTCTGTTCTGATGATTTACAACAAGGGTCTCCAATCTTGGCAACTTTAAGACTTGTGGACTTCAACTCCCAGAATTCCCCAGCCAGCATGGCTGGCTGGGGAATTCTGGGAGTTGAAGTCCACATGTCTTAAAGTTGCCAAGATTGAAGACCCCTGATTGACAAAGTAACAGGCTTGCTCTTGTAGGACCCTGACTATTTAAAGCTGTAGTAGTTTAGCCCTATACGAAATAGCCCAAATTAGCCAAATGGGTAAAATTACTCTGGTTTTGTTAAGATTAAAATTAGGGTCGTGAACAAAAATGACAGGAAGTAAAACCAAAAAAACAACAACTATAAGTTAGGTCAATACATAATTTTAGAATAAATTTAAGAGATATTTTCTGATGCTGGAAGATATTTTTGATTATATACCTACCTGAATACAGTGCTGTCCTGATACAATTCCTTGGATATATTTAGGAGGTGAAGTCTAACTGAAGTCTATGTTTTTAATCTGCTGGTTTGGTTTTTGTTTTGTTTTTTCCTTTTACTGTTTTGAGTGACTAAAAGTTGAAGGTCATTTTTTTTCCTGTAATAGTATATAAGTGGGAGGAGAAGAGCCCTAATGCTTTCTGTTTGCAATGTAGTTTGGCAAATGTGGGCAGAAAATTACCTTTTGAGCAGCTTTCATGGGAGATATTTTCCATGTTTTCTTGAGACTCCAATTTCAGTCACTGGTGGAAAGGCTATTCTATTAAGTTTCTAAATTTGGGGTTCCAGAATTATTAGAAAGTATTTGCAGTTACTACCTGTAGGTACATTTTGTTCTTAGAATATCTGAGAATAAAGGATAGCCCAAATGAATATATAATCTCACTGAGGATTTGTTTGTATTTGATGCCCAGTGCTTCACTCTTTAACAGTAGTTTTTATGGAGAACGGATTTATTCTGGTGTATTTGTCTCAGCCTTCCTCAACATTTTGCCCTCTTCCAGATGTTTTAGGATTAGGGGCCTTATCATTCCCATCCATCAGAACTCTTGGTACCAAACTGATGTTCCTGGAAATGGTCCCCAGAATATTTGGAGGGCAACAGGTTAGGGAAGACTGCTGTCGGTAAACATGCCATGTTCATATTTGTATATAGTTTTGGCTGATGCTTGTAACTCCTTGCTCGTGTTTCTTGAAGCACCTTGCCGACAATCTCAGGCTACCTGTAAGAAGGGGGCTTATGATAATGTACACATTGCACAATTGCTGTGTTTTGACTCAATTCTTGGACTTCTGTTATAACCGTCAATCGTTGCCTCTTTCTTCCTCAGGTCTCTGCCCTGGATCAGGAGATCATTGAAGTGGATCCAGATACAAAGGAAATGTTGAAGTTGCTGGTGAGTGGATGGGTGTCCACAAAATTGCTTTTTTATAACTAAGTGGCTGGGGTTTTTTTGTTTGTTTTTTTTTAAAAAAATGGCTGTTAATTATGAGAGTCTGAAGTTAAGTGAAAATAAAATAGCCAGGAGAGTCAGTGTGCTGAGGTGGTTAAAGGCACCAGGCTATAAAATGGGAGACTGAGTTCTAGTTCTACCGTAGGCATAAAACCAGCTAGATAACTTCAGGCCAGTCCCTCCCTTGGAAACCTAGGAAGGAGGAAATGGCAAACCACTTCTGAAAATGTTGCCAATAAAACTGCATAAACTTATCCAGGCAGTCATCGGGAGTCAAGACATGAAGATGCTCTCCCCCCCCCCCAAAGTCAGCCCACTTGGTAGCAGTTCTGAAAGATTTGGGCAGTTTTATGTAGTGTGTTTAAAAGCCAAGCAAAAGCACTGTACAGATATAGTTTAGGGGGTACCTTGCTCAATAATTGTGAGAGGGATCTCAAAGTCCTAATGGACAATAATTTAAATATGAGCCAGCCGTGTGCTGCAGCTGCCAAAAAGGCCAACACAGTGCTAGGCTGCATTAACAGAGGGATAGAATCAAGATCACGTGAAGTGTTAATACCACTTTACAAGGCCTTGGTAAGGCCACCCTTGGAATACTGCATCCAGTTTTGGTCACCACGATGTAAAGAAGATGCTGAGACTCTAGAAAGAGTGCAGAGAAGAGCAACAAAGATGATTAGGAGACTGGAGGCTACAACATATAAGGAACGGCTGCTGGAATTGGGTATGTCTAGTTTAATGAAGAAAAGGACGAGGGGGGACAGGATAGCAGGCAGCCTTCTAGTATCTCAGGGGCTGCCCCAAAGAAGAGGGACTCAAGCTATTCTCCAAAGCGCCTGAAGGCAGGACAAGAAGCAACGAATGGAAACTAATCAAGGAGAGAAGCAACCTTGAATTAAGGAGAAACTTCCTGACAGTTAGAATAATTAACCAGTGGAACAACCTGCCTCCAGAAGCGGTGAATGCTCCAACATTGGAAGTTTTCCAGAAGAAACTGGACAGCCATTTGTCCGAAATGATATAGGGTTTCCTGCCTGAGCAGGGGGTTGGACTTGATGACCTCCAAGGTTCCTTCCAACTTTATTGTTGTTGTTATTATTATTATTATATACAGGGGATAAAGCAACCCTAACTTCTTGGCAAATCACTGAAAATACTTGGTGAATGCATGATTGCTAAAAGCTTTCATTTGTTTTTGCATACCAAGGAAATTGAGCCTCAAAGATCCTTTCATGTAGATAATTTAGCCTGAGTGAAAAGATCTCCTTTTCAGCTCTTGCCCAGGGATCTGCTTATCTTGGCTCTCTTCTATTCGCAGGATTTTGGCAGCCTGTCCAATCTGCAGGTCACACAGCCCACCGTAGGGATGAACTTCAAAACTCCAAGAGGTGCCATCTAAAGCCATTTCCATGTCGTCACTTTTACAATAAATACATAGAAACAACACCTTGACTTGTATCATTTCAAATACCTATGTCTTCTAGGTAAGTGTTGTATACACCGACTCTCCATGTACTCTCCAGAGTAAGAATTTGGTTGCATTCCTATATCTGCGTAGCAGCGTTTGTGTTAACTTTGATGCGTTGATTAAATCTGTATTTGTTAGATGTAAATTATGCAGCTGGCCACAACCAAGCAAATCTTATTCATTGGAATTTAGAATATACATCTTGGGGTCCCCCCCCCCCCCAAGGCTCTCAGCTGCTTTTTGCATGCTGGCTGGGGAATTCTGGGAATTGAAGTCCACAGAGTTTTAGAGTTGCCAAGATTGGACACCCAGGCTTTATCAAATGCTTTGCAAAATAAAGAACTGCAGTGTCTGTTGCGTTCCCATGACCAAAGCCCATAAAAAGATTATAAAATTGTAATCATAGGACTGTCAATTTATTCTTGAGAAACACTCCTCTCAAGCAAGATGTTTTAGTGTTAAAGGCACTCTAACTGCTTAAGGATTTATTAAAGAATTTTGCCCAACACCAGTTCTTTTTTCACCCTTTTTGAAGATAGGAACAACCCGACTTTATTAATCTAGCACAGTTAGGGTTAGGTCTAGCACGGTTCGTCCATGATTTTTAGAGGTCATGGAGAAGACTGCTGTGTCCCACGCCTCTCAAAAATATGTGCCCGTATCTCATAATTCACCCAGACAAGCTGTCAAACATCTACCTATAGATCTCTTAACAGGTAGGATCTTATCAGATTAATACATAGTCTTAGCAGAGATTAAAGTAACATCTCTTTAGTCCTACATTAGGACAGCACTTTCTTATTTGGCTCCAGATGTGCAGATTTTAATTTCTGGAATTCTCTGCAGTGGCCTTGCATTCTAGAAGTTGCCCGTTAAGGCAAGCGGTATTTCATGCGACCGTCCGTGACTCCTCTCCCCCCATCCCCAGCCATTTACTCTCACCCCAAAGAGGAGGGCTGTGACATGGGAGTGACCATTGCATTCTCTGGAGACAGAATTAGTAAGTTTCAACATACATTTGAGGAACAATGGACAATACTAAAGATTTTATTTGTCACTTGTATAACAGTTCAGCACTGAAGTTATGCAAAGTTTTAACCCACATTTACAGAAGGAAAGTAGGGGAGACACAAAAGTTAGGTACTAAGACATCCGGACAAAGAAGATGAACGGGAAATAGGTTTCCTATTGTAGTTCCAGAACATTAATATGCTCCACTTGGTCCACTACAAATTAATCTTGTCCCACATTCTAATCAGTGTGTGTGTGTGTGTGTGTGTTCCTTGAGCGAATCCCTCAATGAGATTTGCTTTCAGACTTAAGTATTCACACAGCAGCTGCTCTGTGGGTTCTTTGATGAGCATTCAGGTGTGTGCTTCTACTGAAGCTCTTCCCACACTGCAAGCAGGTATACGGTTTCTCCCCCGTGTGCGTTCTCTGATGGGAAGTGAGGCTGGAGCTGACCCGGAAGCTCTTCCCACACACCATGCACTGGTAGGGTTTCTCCCCCGTGTGAATTCTCTGGTGGGTGTTGAGATCCGAACTCCGCCGGAAGCTCATCTCGCACTCCAGGCATTTGTAGGGCTTCTCTCCTGTGTGAATCCTTTCGTGGTAGGTAAGGCTGGTGCTCAGGCAGAAGCCAATCCCGCACTCCAGACACTTGTAAGGCTTCTCCCCCGTGTGCGTCCTCTGGTGGTACGTGAGGTTCGTGCTCACGCAAAAGCTCTTGCCGCACTCCAAGCACTTGTAGGGTTTCTCCCCCGTGTGAATCCGCTGGTGGGAGGTGAGGCTGGTGCTCACCCGGAAGCTCTTCCCGCACTCCAGGCATTTGTAAGGCTTCTCGCCCGTGTGAATCCGCTGGTGGGAGATGAGGCTGGTGCTCAGACTGAAGCCAATCCCGCATTCCAAACACTTGTAAGGTTTCTCCCCACGATGCGTCCTTTGGTGGTAAGCCATGCTGGTGCTGGAACTGTAGCTTTTTCCACACTCCGCGCATTTGTAGGGCTTCTCGCCCGTGTGGCTTCTCTGGTGACTGGTGAGGCCGGCGATCACGCTGAAGCTTTTGGTGCACTGGGAGCACTTGAAGGGTTTCTCCTCCGTGTGAATCCGCCGATGGGCACTGAGGTGTGCATTCAGGCTGAAGCTCCTTCCACACTTCTCACATTTAAACGGCTGCTCCTTGATGTAACTGGTGCAACGAGCGATGAGGTTCGAGTCAGAATGGAAGCTTTTCTGGCGCTGAAGGAAGGTATGCTTTTCGTCTCCTTTATCGTGTTTTTCCAGACTGTCAAGCTGACCAGGGTGATCCCCGATCAGAGAGGGAGATGCTTTATTCCTCACCTGGTTTAATTTCATTTTCGTTCTCTGCGGCAGCTCCTTTTTCTTATCTCCCTTCTTTGCTGCACCCAAAACACACGATTCTTCTTTATTCTCCATCTCTGAACGGCTAACGTCTAATGAAAATAGGAAAATAATATTTTTTAGTTTGTCTACCAAGATAACCTTTATTGTCTTTTTTTTTTTTTTTTTTTACTGTGGGCACGACACACATCAAAAATGAATTTAGTTGCCTGCTCTCAAAGTGAACACATACATGACACAGCATGTATAGACCCACACCCCTACATACCCGTAACATAAATATTACACCCTGTCCATCTTGAATACATAACGGAAGGAGGAAGCTTGAGAGTTCACAAGATTAATACTGTATGGAACGAAACTATGACTGAATCTGGATGTTCTGCTATGGATACCACAAAGCCCCCTCCTCCCAGAAGATAACAAGGAAAACAGGTCGTGAAAAGGATGTGTAGTGTCCCAGTTAATCTTACAGACCCTGCACAAACAACGCTTCTGTGCTATGTCCTGGATGGGAGGGAGGGAACTGCCAATGATCTTTTCGGCCATTCTCACCACTCTCTGTACCACCTTCCTGTCTGAAGCAGTGATGCTTCCAAACCAGACCGTGATGCTGTATGACAGGATGCTCTCGATTGCCCCCCTGTAGAAAGTGGTCAGGACAGGGGAAGGAAGATGTGCTTTTCTCATGCGATGCAGAAAATGCAGGCGCTGCTGTGCCCACTTCACCAGTGTCTCACTGTTGAGTGACCAAGCCAGCCTACTAGTTAACTGCACACCCAGGAATTTGATGCTGGTAACCACCTCCACAGGTGAGATCTCTACCATTTGAGATTTCCACTATATCTTCCTTTTTATTTCAGAGAAAAGTGGTCACTATTTTGCGACACCATCAGAATGATTTTAGATGCCACACTAATCAATCCGACTTGAGTTTTTAGGTTTTGGCAAGACACATTTTTACAGTATCTCTTTATTTTTTTACTCTTTAAATAACAAAAATTATGGAGCAGGAATTCTTCCTTGTGGCACCATTTTTGGGTAATTCATTCCTCCATTCTCATTCTCTGTCCTTTTATAGGTGATGAGCATTATTACAACAGTTTTAATATTCCATGGGATTATAGAAGGGACATAGTTGCCTTTGACTAACAAGCATTTATATACTGACCCTTCAAAGTTATAATGGCACTCAAAAATGTGACAAGTCTAGTTTTAATACTTAACAACTGTTGCTGCATCCTCACGGTCAGGTGATCAAGATTCAGCCACATGCAACTGGCATATATTTATAAGTTGCAAACAAGCACATTTTATTAAAAGGCAGACACTTAAAAGTTTCAAAAAAGATGCTACTTAAATCCCAAGTTCTAGGATTTCAGGTTAATTCTTACTCTTTCCTAACACTTCCATAATCTAATGCTCATTGATAAATCACTGCATCCACTGTGCTTTTAATATTTGGGGCTGACATTCAATTACTGTAACAATGACTGGAGAATTGCATTAAAAGCAAAAACAAATGTTTTAATTAGTCAAGCCATATCTTTTGGTACACCTGAAGAAATAATAATAAGTAGTAGTAGTAGTAATTGGAAGGGACCTTGGAGGTCATCTAGTCCAACCCCCTGCTCAGGCAGGACACCCTATACCATTTCAGACAAATGGCTGTCCAGTTTCTTCTCAAAAACTTCCAGTGTTGGAGCATTCACCGCTTCTGGAGGCAGGTTGTTCCACTGGTTAATTGTTCTGTCAGGAAGTTTCTTAGTTCTAGGTTGCTTCTCTCCTTGATTAGTTTACATCCATTGCTTCTTGTCCTGCCTTCAGGTGCCTTGGAGAATAGCTTGACTCCCTCTTTTTTGGGGCAACCCTTGAGATATTGAAATACTGCTATCCTGCCCCCTCATCCTTCTCTTCATTAAACGAGACATAACCAATTCCTGCAACCGTTCCTTATATGTTTTAGCCTCCAGATCTCTAATCATCTTTATTGCTCTTCTCTATACTCTTTCCAGAATCTCAACATTTTTTTTACATCGTGGTGACCAAAACTGGATGCCGTATTCCAAGTGTGGCCTTACCAAGGCATTGTAAAGTAATATTAATACTTCACGTGATCTTGATACAAGGTCATGAAACAAAGATTGTGCAAAACATTCTGATTCTGAAAACTCAAAACAGAAAACTTACCAAAAGGGTTCAAAACCACACAATTGTCTTCCATGACTAGACTGCTAAAGAACTCTGCTCAAGATTCAGCAAAATCCACTTCTCCACAGCATGCATGAATCACGCAAGTGATTCTAAAAAGAAAAAGGAACTTGTTCACTGGCTTGTATACAAAATACACATCAGTAACACGCAACACTGTTTCGGGAGAAACAGCAGGTTCTCTTCTGTACTATTTAAACCAGGGGTTTTCACACTTGGCTCTTTTATGATTTGTGAACTTCAACTCCCAGAATTCCTCAGACAGACACATTGTGGACTCCAACTCCCAGAATTCCTTAACCATGATGGCTGGCTGGGGAATTCTGGGAGTTGAAGTCCACAAGTCATAAAAGGGCCAAGTTTGAAAGCCCCTGATTTAAACCATGGGAGAGTGTCCCACCATAGTCACTTTTAAGACCGGTGGACTTCAACTCCCAGAATTCCCCAGCCAGCCATCATGGCTAAGGGATTCTGGGAATTGGAGTCCACAGGTCTTAAAGTGGGAGACGCCTGATTTAAACCTCCATGAACAGCATCCATCAAAATTGCTATGCAAAATGGAAATGGGGGGGGGCGGAGCAGGCTTTTCTGTCCACGTTTCAAGGCCACGCGCACCCCACACATACTTCCCCCCCCCTCCACGCTTCCTCCCCCCCCCCATACCAGCCAAAACCATGATTTTTTATTGGAAAAAAATACAGGGCTAACCTGAAAAGCCCCTCTGCCCTCTCCCCCCTCCCATTCCCGGCAAGGGCTCCAGCCTGGAGGTCTCCTCCACCTCCTGGGCCGCCCTCCCGGCCCTCCCCTGCAGCGCCAGGCCGCCCTGCTCCCCCAAAGCCTCGGGGCTCACCCGCAGCGGACTCCCCTCCTACAGCACCGGCTGCCCCCCCCCCGCCCCTGCCGCCCTCTTCTGGGAGGAGCCTGTTTCCTTTCTTCTTCCTGTTTCCTTTTTTTAAACATTTCTCTTCCTCTCTAGGAATTCAGCCGTCGCTGGCTTTAACCCTTCGGCGGCCGGGCCGCAGCGACGCCTCGCTCGCGCTTTCCAGGCAAGGCGCCTCCTGGCAGCGGGGGAGGGGGGAAATATATCTTGCTGCGGGGGGGGGAGGCTTTTCATTGCCCCCCCGATGAGAAGCGGAGGATGCACCCGGGGGGGGGGGCCGTTGCAACTTTGCATGCTTTTGCAATTTCTATTGCATCCGCTGCAGTCTTGGCCGCGCCCGCCCGGCGGTGCCCAGGTGTTTTCGCCCGCATCCTGCGCGGCTTGCAAAAGGGCGGCGGGGAGGGGTGGAGCCCCCCCCCCGGCCGATCCCTCCTCGTGGCTTTGCAAGGGTTAAATGAAACGAGCCAAGCTCCTAGAGAGGAAGCGAATTGGGGCAGGAAGACGGGGGGGGGTCCTTCCCTTGCAAGCCTGGGACTCTTCCTGCTCCGCCTTTTCCAGTGGGGGGGAAAGGGGGGGCGTGGCCTTCCCCCCCACCTCCTCCGAGCTTTGCATGGCGGACCCCCTTGGGGGAATTGGGTGAGTTTGCAGCCCTTGCACCCTGGCTTGGCAGAGAGGGGCGTCCCGGAGCTGCAGAGACGACGGGGTGGGATTCCCAGGCTCAAGCCAACCCCCCCCCCCCTTTACAAAGCAGCCACACAAAAAGGGCAGGGCGGGGTCTGCTGTTGGGGAAGGGTCCTCGTCCGCCTGTCCTGGCGCTTCCTCCCGTTTTTCTGCAAAGCCAGGGGGGAGGTCAGCATCCAGATATTGTTCAAGGAGAGAGAGAGAGAACAATGAAGGCAAGCAGGGAAATCCTTCTTCTGTTCCACGCGTGGGGGGGGCGCCCCCTTGCATCAGGTGTTGCAACCCCCCCCTGCCATCCCCTCTCTGTAGTGCAAGGGATGGGGGTGGGGTGGGGGGCTCTTGAAAGAGCGGATGTTCCGTGGAAGGTGAAAAACCCCAGAGGATGTCTCTCTCTCCTTTGGGGAGGGGGTGGGAATTGGGCTGCCATTCCTTTTTGCAGTTCTTCTGTCCAGGAAAAGCCCACTCTTGGATCCTGCATCCTGCAGAAAAGTACAGGTAATCCTCAATTTACCACCACAACCGAGCCCATTTCTGTTGCTAAGCGAGGCATTTATTCACTTAGTAACAGGCGTTCAGTGAATCAGGCTTTCCCATTGACTTTGCTTGTCAGACGGTCACAAAAGGGGACCACGTGTCCCCGGCACACTGCAACCGTCATAAATACGAGTCAGTTGCCAAGCCTCTAAATTCGGATCACGTGACCACGGGGCTGCTGCAACGGTCGTAAGTGTAAAACACAGGCATAAAGTCACTTTTTTCCTCTGCCATTGTAACTTCACACGGTCACTAATGGATGGTTGTGAATCAAGGACTGCCTGTCATCTTGTTTAGAGGGAAAAGGGGGTTGAAATCACTTTCTGATTTCTGAACTGGATCATATTTTGGAGGATGCTGGCTGGGGAATTCTGGGAGTTGAAGTCCGCAAGTCTTAAAAGTTGCCAGGGTTGGACAATTCTGTTTTACAAAATAATGGTCCAAGAGTTTGCCTTGTTGTCTCCCACTGCCGAGGACCCTTTACTCCAAACTCCTTGGGAATGAGTGCTGTGTGACGTACCTAATAAATAAATGAAAAGATCAAAAATGATGTTAAAAGGGAGGCTAATTCAGCGGGAATTTCCTGTCATTCTCTGATAGTCGCCCACACGGAGTTGGGAAAATGCTTCCTGTCCTTGAAGAACTTTGCAATGACACTACCTTGGTCTTGACTTTGCAGAACCTGGTGGCCATCATCAATCAGAGGCATCATTGCCCTCGTGGCTGAAACTGGAAGCCCAGGAAGGCCGTCTGCCCAGGCAGGAGAACATCTCAAGGATGGATGGACCACCTGCAGCTGGCCCAGAAGCTGGAAGGGACCCTGAGACCATCAAGTCAGGGAGCGGTGGAGAAAACTGGGACCTGCACCCTGAGGTCCATCGCCAGTGTTTCCGGCAGCTCCACTATCAGGAGGCCAAGGGACCCCGAGAGGTCTGTAAGCGGCTCCACGATCTCTGCCATCTGTGGCTCAGACCAGAGCAGCACACCAAGAACCAGATTTTGGACATGCTCATCCTTGAGCAATTCCTGGCTGTCGTTCCTCCAGAGATGCAGAGGTGGGTCCGGGAATGTGGAGCCGAGACCAGTTCCCAAGCTGTAGCCCTGGCTGAAATTTTCCTCTTGACCCAGGCAGAAGACAAGAAACAAGAGGAACAGCAGGTAAAATGTTTGGTCTTCTCAATTGCTTAGAGCAGTGGTTCTTAATCTGTGGGTCGGGACCCCATTTGGGGTTGAACGACCATTTCACGGGTGTCGCCAAACAAGGCTGTCCGCCATTTTTTCCCCCTTTGGCCACGCCCCTGGCACCCGGTGATGTATAAGTGGTTGGGGGTCACCACAACATGGGGAACTGTATTATGGGGTCGCGGCATTAGAAAGGTTGAGAACCACTGGCTTAGAGCTTTCTGGTCGTGTGTGTGTGTGTGTGTGTGTGTGTGTGTGTGTGTGTGTACATGGGATGGGGTTCCTAACCGTTTCACCTGTCAGGACTGCCATCCTGCTATGCCAGGGGTCTTCAAACTTGGCCCTTTTATGACTTGTGGACTTCAATGCATGGCTGAGGGATTCTGGGAGTTGAAGTCCACAAGTTATAAAAGCGCCAAGTTTGAAGACCCCTGTGCTATGCCATGCTTTGCTTGTTGCCAGTCTGTCATAGGCAACGGGGGCGGGGAGGAACTGTGGGGTAGGATAACGGGGAGGATATTAGGAGAGAAACTGAAACTAAGCATCATGCTATCCCATCGCAGTTCCAAGGTCCCTCTATGGAATGCAGCACCACCCAGCCCTTGAAGACAGGGACTGTTACCCAAACAATTTGTGTGGATTCAATTGGATGCTTAGTGATAACCAAGGGAGACGGTAGAAATAAGGGGAAAGTGAACGGTATACTTTGGGCATGAAAATCTCAGATCCGGCTTTGCCTCTCTGTAACCACTTGACTTTAGTAAAGTGTGCTTTCATTAATCACGGATTCGAGAGTCTTTCTTTTCTAATTGAGCAAGTTGGGACAGTTGACATTCCCCTTTCGTTCTATGTTTCAGTATACAGAATCGGGCCCCACCTTTCCGGAACCATTCAAGACTTCCTCGGATGCCCGGCAGAGTGCCCTACGAAGGTGGATGAAACACGAAGGCGATGGAACGTCCATCCTACAAGGTAAGGATGAACAGGTTGCTTTTCCACCTGTTGTCTTTCCTCCGCTGAACCTAGAAATCAACTTTTACAGGCCTTCCAAGCAAAGATAGATCTCCAGTCGTTTCCCAGAGTTCAAAGATGGGTTTACTGTATGTTCAACATCAAGTACAGGTGGTCCTCGGCTTACAAGAGTTCATTTAGTGACCATTTGGAAGTTAAAACGGCACTGAAAAAAGTGACTCGTGACCATTTCTCAGACTTCTCACAACCATTGCAAACCAGATATCAACGCTGCTAACATTGGATGTTTTGCATTGACAACAGATGGAAATGTAGCCATCTTTTTCCCTTTCCCTTTTAGAGTTAAATAATGCTGGGAGGGGGGATGTGAACGAGAGTCCATCTAGACATAACAACACTAAACTTAGGGTGAGAATCAAGGTTATTAAGGCCAGAGCTGATAAAGAATTGGCGGGCTGGAAAACTGGAGAGGAAGCCCCGCTTCAAGCTAATTGGGGAATGTGATTTATGACTGTTAATTGGAGGAGGAAATTATGCTTTGATACTATGTGCCCAGGGAGGGGAATTCAGTTTTTGGCTTCAATTATACCAGTGCCAATGTTATGCTACTCAAAGTAAAGATTCTTTAAGATAAACAATGCCTCAAAGTTCTTTGAAGAGTTTCATCTGTCGGAACCATGACACCAGACAAGTAAACACAACAATATGAATTAATTCTAGTTTATCGTAAGGCTGTATTAACAGAATCTGGTAGAGTTAGTCCTTGATTTACAACGGTTGATTTAGTGACTGTTCAAGGTTACAACAGCACTGAAAACAGTGACTTAACAATCTTTTCTCACACTTATGACCATTGCAGCATCCTCAGGGTCACGTGATCAAATTCGGATACTTGGCAACTGGCTCATATTTACAGCTCTCCTAAAACTCAGCACAGTTCCTGAGATAACACATAAACACGTATTACCTTTGGTTTCTTCCAGGAGATGGGATGATGTCGGTAATACGTGCCCAGTCAACATCTCTTCTGTGTGGCGGCGGAGACTTGACAACTGCGCAACAGGCTCAGGTATGGACAAGCAATGGGGGGGGGGGAGAGAGAATTTTGCTCAGCCTCCCTGCCTTTGAACAGGTCTGTCCTCTTATTTGGTGTCTGTTGGAGGTTTGTGTTAGACGGACAATCTTGTATTCTTGCCTGCAGGGGTTTGGATCTGTAATGGGATGTGAGAATGACCTTGGCGAAGGAGGGGGAAGAAATGTTGCCTAGACAACAATCAGATAAAAGGAGGAGGAGCCCAAGGTTGCATCCCAGGAAAAAAAAAGTACAGGTAGTCCTCAACTTATGACGACAATTGAGCCCTAAATTTCTGTTAAGTGAGACATTTGTTAAGTGAGTTTTGCCTCAGTTTATGACCTTTCTTGCCACCGTTGTTAAGTGAATCACTGCAGTTGATAAGTTAGCAACTTGGTTGTTAAGTGAATCTGGCTTTCCCCCATTGACTTTGCTCGTCAGAAAATCGCAAAAGGGGATCACGTGACCCGGGGACGCTGCAACCGTCATAAATGTGAGTCAGTTGCCAAGCGTCTGAATTTTGGTCGTGTGACCACAAGGACGTAAATGTGAAAACCGGTCGTAAGTCATTTTTTTCAGGTCTGTTGTGACTTTGAATAGTCCCTAAGTGAACTGTTGTAAGTCGAGGACTTCCTGTACAAGATTCTGTTAATAGAGCCTTACGATAAAGTAGAATTAATTCATATGGTTGTATTTCCTGGTCTGGTTTCCTTGAGAGGGTTAACACCAATCTTGTAAGTCTGAAATCTCCCCTAGTCACTTTTAACAGTCTGATGTGTTAGAGCAGATCCTTTCTTTCTTTCTTTCTTTCTTTCTTTCTTTCTTTCTTTCTTTCTTTCTTTCTTTCTTTCTTTCTTTCTTTCTTTCTTTCTTTCCTTTTTTCTTTCTTTTTTCTTCCTTCTCTTTTCCTTTCTCTTCTCTTTCTTTCTCTTCTCTCTCTTCTTTCTTCTCTTCTTTCTTTCTTCTTTCTTTTTCCTCCTTCCTTCCTTCTCTTTTTTCATTTTTTCTTTCTTCCTTCTTCTCTTCCTTTCTCTTCTCTTTCTCTTCTTTCTTTTTCTTCTTTCTTTCTTTTCTTTCTTCTTTCTTGTTCTTCCTTCCTTCTTTTTCTCTTCCTTTCTCTTCTTTCTTCTTTTTCTTTCTTCTTTCTTGTTCTTCCTTCTTTCTTTCTTTCTTTTTCATTCTTTTTTCCTTCCTTCTCTTTTTCTTTCTCTTTCTTTCTTTCTTTCTTTCTTTCTTTCTTTCTTTCTTTCTTTCTTTCTTTCTTTCTTTCTTTCTTTCTTTCTTTCTTTCTTTCTTTCTTCTTTCCCTCTTAGGCCAGGGGTCCCCAACATGCCAGCAACCGGTCTGCACAAACAAGCAAAGTTCCATCCATGGGATACAGGCAGCACACAAAACCACACACCCTCCGGTCCGTGGAACAACCTTTATCTGCGGAACCGGTCCCTGATGCCCCAAAGGTCGGGGACCTCTGCCTTAGGCAACTGTGTGCTCCTCTCCCTGTTATCTGATCATTCTCTGGGCAGCGTCTCTTCCCCTCATTCCTCAAGGTCATTCCCACAGACCAGTAGGATCCTAATCAGGATTCCAACTCACCAGTGAACTAGCCGTTGAATTTTGCTAGTGCCTCAACTTTCTGCCATCCTTTCAGGTCCCAGTGGCGACTGAGGATGTGGCTGTCCAGGTGACAGAGAAAGAAGGGATCCTGCCCGATCCTGACCAGAAAGGTTTCCGCAAGCAAGCCGTGCAGCAAGATTGCGGACTGATAGCTGCCTTTGGTAAGTTTTCTCTCTTTCATCAATTATGAAATTATAGCGTTTTTTAACAAAATTGGAAAGACAATCCTGAATGCCACTTGGGTTAACTGGGTGTGGTTAGTGCCTCTGTTTCCCAAAAGAGCTTTTACTAGCTTCCCGTGTTCACTGCAGAAGCCGATAAGTGGGCAGTCGAGAGAAAAGGAGACCCATCGGTGGGACTGCCAGAAGGGGACGGCATTAAAAAGAGGGAGAAACAGAGGAGAAAATCGGTACCCAATCGGAAAAGGATGATGGAGGTGAATGACTCCCCCGCTCCCCAAAGCAGTAACTTCCATCAAAATGCAGTCCAAGAAAAAATAGAGAAAATGAACAGTAAGTGCCAAAGGCTGGATCACTCCTTATTTAAATCTGGTGTTAAGAAGATGTTTACAATTCTATGCATATCTATGTTTAGCGTATGGAAGGAGTTCTTGTAATGTTCTGTTTTTACTGAGCACGGAATGCCATAGATGAGTGATGGGCAAGGGGGGGGGGTTAAAAGGCAAGATGGCAGCTGTGTCAGGCCCCAAGAACCACCTGGAGTTCTGAATAGTTTCTTTATTGCTGTTTGCCTACAGATGGAATCTTGCCTAAAGACTAAAGCAGACTATATTGGCATAACTAGAGATATGTTTTGTGAACTGCTGGGGGGGGGGGCTGCTTAGCCTTCTCCCTGCCCATCAGGCATTCCAAGCTCTAATTGACCTCTGGGAGGGAGCCCCTCCCTCCTGGGAATCCAGACTGCATTCCATCACATCATCTGCTTACAGAGTATAATTTTAAAAACCCTTTGCTTACAAGTAGGCGCTGAATTATCGTTTTTTGTTGTTGTTGTTGTCTTCTAGTTGCAAAAATAAGCGAGCCAGCCCGTAAAAGACAACGAACGTATCTGTTCCATAAAGAATGGGAGGAACGATACTGCTTCATGGACGTGAACGGCAAATCGGTGTGCTTAATCTGCTCGTCCACGGTCGCGGTGGCGAAGAAGCACAACGTCCAGAGGCACTTCGAGAGAAACCACGGCACCTTCGCCAAAAACTATCCCCTCGATTCCGAGCTCCGCAAGATGAAAGTGAAAGAGATGAAGTCCAAATTTGCCTCCCAGCTGACCGTCTACACCAAACCCGTGGTCCACTCCAAGAACACCACCATTGCCTCTTTCAAAATTGCTAGTCTGCTGGTGAAAAGAAACAAACCCTTTGAGGACGGCGAGCTGCTGAAAGAGGTGTTTCTGACGGCCGCTGACTCGATTTTCGAAGGCTTCTCCAATAAGAAAGAAATCATGACAGCTATACAAAAGCTTCAGTTGTCCGGGAACACCGTTTCTCGCAGAATCCAATCCATCTCGAACGATTTGGAGTACCAGCTGCAAAGCGACCTGCAGAAGTGCCTCTGGTTTTCCCTGCAGCTGGACGAGTCCACCGACATAACCGACACGTCCCAGTTGGCCATGATCGTGAGGCTGGTCTTCAGCGATCTTGCGGTGAAGGAAGAGCTGCTCAAAATCCTGTCTTTGAAAGGAAAAACAAGAGGCGAAGATATCTTCCTGACTTTCAAGAACTACGCCACTGAAATCAACCTGCCTCTTCATAAACTTTCTTCCATCACGACCGATGGCGCGCCAGCCATGGTGGGCAGCATGGATGGGTTCATCGCTCACTGCCAGAAGGACGAATCTTTTCCAAAGTTTATTTCGTATCACTGCATCATCCACCAAGAGGCCCTGTGTGCCAAAGTCCTGCAGTTTAAACACGTCATGGACGTGGTTACAAAAATCATAAACTCTATCCGCGCCGTCTCTTTGCAGCATCGGCTCTTTAAAGCCCTCCTGAAGGACGTTGATGTTGAATATGGGGACCTGATTTTGCACACGGAGGTCAGATGGCTCAGCAAAGGCAAAGTTCTCGCCAGGTTTTTAACCCTGAGGGATGAAATAAAGGCCTTTTTAAAGACAAAAGACCAGTATGTGGAACAGCTGGACGATAGGTTTTGGTTAGTGGATTTAGCGTTCCTTGCTGACTTGATGCAAGAACTCAACAGTTTGAATATTGAACTTCATCGAAACGATAAGCATATCTGTGGGATGATCTCTTCGGTGCACTCCTTCAAAGGTAAACTGAGGTTGTGGAAGTCACACCTGCAGGTGAAGTCCCTCCTTCCCTTCCCTTCCATGAAGCAGGTGGTCGGGGAAAGCGACTTCAACAATGCGCCGTTTGTGGGTTACCTGGAGACCTTAGAGGAACAATTTCATGCCCGCTTCCAGCAGTTCACCGGCATTGAGCCGGTGGTGTCCTTCTTTGAGAACCCATTCAGTCCGATCGATGTGGCGGAGACAGCCGTGGCCATCGGGGAACTGTGCCAGGCCATGGTGGAAGAGGTTGAGATGGAGATTGTTGGCCTTCAGAATGACATCCTTCTGAAATCCAACTCAAGCCACGCCAACTTTTGGAACTTGGTCGATGCCCAGAAATTTCCTCTGTTGAGGAAAGCAGCTGCAAAGATCAAGTCTTACTTTGGGTCCACCTACCAGTGTGAGTCTGTCTTCTCGACACGGAGATTTATCAAGTCAAAGAATAGAACACGGATGACGGACAAACATCTGGATGACTGTTTGCGAGTGGCAATCTCTTCCTACACTCCCAATTACAACAGGCTTGCCGACGGCATGCAGTGTCAAGCCTCCCACTAAACTTGGGCAAAATGTGGCTGGTGTACCTGGTGTAGAGCAGTCTTCCCCTTTCCATTTTTCTATTCTGCGTTCCATCAAATGGTAGAGATACTAGGCTTAAATGTATACCGATTTATTTGTAACTGTGAATATAATTATGTACCGATAGTCTAGGAATAATGTTGAATTGTGCGCCCACCTGCCCTCTCTACTATGCAAATCAGTAAATACTCTTTTATATGTGGAATCATCTGTTGCCAGCCCTGTGTTGTGATGGGACTGTTTATGTACCCAAGGATCACATTTAATTTGTCGGAGGTGCAAAATGTTACAAAAGGTTACATCATATAGAGACACTGCCTTGAGTGTCCCAAGTTCCCATCATAAAACTATACAGCTTTATTGCCCATTTGATCCCCCCCTCTCCCCCTTGGATGGTAGAACGCAAGGTGCCAAGCTGAAGCTGGTGGATCTGATGGGCCATTTTGAAAATTTGCCCTTTAAAACTAATATCTCTATTTCGGTACTTAAAATAGAGTTTTAATACCTTTTGCCTCTCAGAATCATAGGAACTTTGCTGTTCTCAACAATTGTGACCAGATTTTAAGGGCTACGGGCTGTCTGCCATGGCGTAAGGCAGGGAAAATACTTTCAGTAAGCAACATGAAACTATGTAAAAGCCATGTGTGAAAACGTAGACTGGAAACAGTATTTGCTGCATATCTCAGTCGTTTATTCAGATACGTGCAGAAGTGAAACCGTATCAATATTTTTCAAAGACAACTGGGTTAATTTGTGGTTACAAAAATCAAAAGGAATATAAATGTCTGTGGAGATTCTCAGTCGTCCAGATCATGGTTGTCCCAAAGATGCTTTTTCAAGGGGCAACTGGACTTTGTTTTTCCTTGAAGATGCTTCGCTTCTCATCCAGGAAGCTTAATTGTCCAGCTTCGTGGATGAGAAGTGAAACTTCTTCAAGAAAAAAAACAAAATCTGGTTACATTTTGAAAAAGCAGCTTTGGGACGGGAGGAGCCTAGCAGCACTTTTTCTGACTGACTTTTGTTTTAAAAAACTGAATAAAAATCTAAGAATTGTTAATTCTTATAAATGCTAGGAGTCCAGAGCATAAACATGTTATAACAGAGATGAATATCCATAAAAGGTATGTATATAGGTGCCATGCAACACAATTAGTATTATTTAAGGGCTGAGATGATGATGGGATTTATATGATACGGGATTTATATAGAGGTCATGCCAATGTTTTCCCACCAACCAGTTCTTTGAAAATGATGGAAGTTCTAAGATTAGCTAAAATGTGTTCCAATGTCTCCTCTAAATGTTGGAAATGTAATCTGACAATTGGAACATACTGTCATATGTGGTGGGAGTGCACGCGAGCTCATGATTTTTGGAATAGGATCAAAGAATGGTTGGAAGAAATATTAGAGCGAGCGGTAGAGCCAAAACCAGAACTTTTCCTATTAGGTATAACCACGCAAAAGTACGACAAAGGCGTACTTTATTTAATGTTACACATTCTAACGGCTTCCAGACTGGTTTTTGCTCAAAATTGGAGGAATAAAGGAATTCCAATGGAAGAAGAGATCCTGTATAAAATCCTTTCATGTGCTGAGATGGACAGGCTTACAATGATTATGAAGGACAAGACAGAACTTGAATACTTCGAAATCTGGGACAAATTTTACCGTTGGTATGAATTAAGAACTGCTCGGATCTCAAGTTAATGATAGGATTGAAATATATATATGACTGTACATATAATTGTATATTTAATTGTATTACATAGAAGGATGAAGCTTATCTAGAGGTTAAGAATGATGTATTACGTTTTTGTACCACGAGAAACAAACTGTTAGGAATACTTACTCTGGAATGTCACGCTTGTCCATTTTTGTTTTAATTGTATTATAAATAAAAAACTTTTTAATTAAAAAAAAAAGAAAATGATGGAAGTTGTTTCATATGAAGGCCAGGATATAAGAAGAAGTCTGACAAAGAATCGCTGTATTCAGAATCTGTCATAAAGTACAATGAAAATCTATGGATAATTTCTTATGACCCCCTCCGTAGTGAAAGTTCTTGATTTGTGTGTCTTGTCTTCCGAATAAAAGCAAAACATCTGGTGATAAAAGATGATCAGTAAATTGCCCAAAGCCAGCTAAAACAAAGTGAGCCTCCCTGGCTTGCTTTGAACATCTTAACAAAGATGTGTGGGGAGTGGGATTGTGTCTTATTTTCTATATACAATATACAGCATTAAGCTTTTCCAGAAGACAATTGGGGTGTTTGGATAATAGGTTTATTCCTAAGAGTTGGAAGTTGCTGTAGCAGCTTCCTACCAAGAGGAGGGCAAAATGTTGAGGTTGTCCAAAACTCAAGACTCCCCCTCCACCCTACTATGAAAGCATCCGAGGTCTTCATGGGATCCCAAATCAAATACAAGCTATCTCTTTTATGAATGAATGTCCCCTTTTTTACATGTGTTGCACAACAGCAGGTTTCTGGTGAGGGAAATGGCGGATCTGGATGTCTCCGAAGGAGCATGCTGACTGGAGAATTCTGGGAGTTGAGGTCCACACTTCTGAAAACATGTCTCAAACTTAGCCATTAGAAGATACGTGGGCTTCAATTTCCATGCTGCCTGGGGAATTCTGGGAGTTGAAATCCACCCATCTTCATGTTGCAAAGGTTGGGAAACGCTGCTCTTGGGAATTCAATTGGAGCAAAGCTTCTTCCTAAGATTTCCTTCATGCAACAGGTTTCCTTCATGCCATGCACCAGAAAAGCTGCAGTTCTTGGTTGAAAAATGACCCATTTAATGCCAAGTCTCATCTCTATTTAACGGCAGAGCAAAACGATGTCAGAATCTAGTTTCATTTCGGAACCAAAAGAAAGGAAATACACCTCTAGATGGCACCACAGCCAAGTATAGAATTTTCTTCCAAAAAACAGTTTATAGAGAAAAAAAGGACAAAAAGACCAGCCAGCCTCTTGAAGTTTACTTCTCCAAATCTATCTTGGCCTTCTGTGCGAATCCTTAAGAGCTTCTGTCAGTAGTTTCTGTTGAAAGGTTTACTGTCTGCTTTGAAGATGAAGCAAAGTTTTGATTGTGAGGATTGGATTAAGAGAACACAGCAGACCACGCTTTTCTGATGCTGGAAGCGAAAGTGAACTTCGCTTAAGGCTTAAGCAATTGTAGACTAGTGTCACATAGGCCTGGCTTGTGCAACACACACACAAAAGCATTTTTAAGTATTTAGTTTAATTTTGGTTGTGTTGTGCTACTCCAACCTACTGTGGTCTACTAGAGCAAACCATGGCAGTTAAACAGTGGAACAGAACTTGCCTTCAGAAGTTGTGGATGCTCCAACACCGAAGGCTTTTAAGAGACTAGATAGCCACTTGTCTGAAATGGCATAGGGTCCCATGCTTGAGCAGAGGGTTGGACTAGAAGACCTCCAAGATCCCTTCCAGTTCTACTCTGATTGATGGAGTTGCAAAACAACACCTGGAAAACAGCACGTCCTGGCTGATAGTATAGATTTCAATATTACATATTGCCCAATCTGGCTATTCTTGTCTTGTACAATACTGGCTATAATATTCCAAATTCAGGATAGGGTTTGTTCCTTTTTAGCCTGGTTATAAATTCAGAAGGAAAGGTGCATCTTTTCTAGGACAGCTACTGCTGCCGTGACCTACTTTGACAATGTGGGATACGTATGCAGAACACATATGCAAGAACTCTGTGCAAGCACAGGGAGGCTGAATTATTTATGACCAGTCCGTGTTAATGCAGGATTAAAAGAATCTCCTCTATAATTCAAAGGGCCTGGTGGTCCCACACTTGACTCTAGTGCTCCTTGGGGGCCATTTATGCCTAGGTGAGCAGAACTGCAGAACATGGCTGGTTTGACAAGAGGGTGAAGTGGGAAGGGCTCAACCAAAATCAATGTGGTACCTAAACAGGCGCCAGTGAAGAAGCAGAAAATCACAGATGCTGAAAAAAGGTGGGCTTGGCCGCCAGGAGGAGATGTTCTAAAGGAGAGGTGTCCAACCGTGGCAACTTTAAGACTTTGGCCAACGATGGCCCCTTCAAGACCTGTGGACTTCAACTCCCAGAATTCCACAGGTCTTAACAGTTGCCAAGGTTGAACACCCCTGTTCTAAAGGGAAGAAACAAGAGCTTAATGGGAAAGCTTGAGCTTTATATACAAAAGGGGCTTTCAGTTGATGGCAAGATAGCAAGTGATAACTACTTGTGCAAGCTGGGTCAATGATTTTTAACCGACATTTGGGAAAGGATTGAGGAATATTCTTCGCAAGAGGAAACCTGCTTGCTAGTGTAGATGTCAATATGCAAAACAGACCAGTCACACAGTTAAGGAAGTATGGGTGAAAATGTTCAAGAAAAGCAACTCAAAGTTGAACAGTCTTTTATTTACCCTAAGGATGGAACAATAATCTTTGTGTTATATTGGTAGTGATTTTTTTTTTAATGGTTGTCCCTGCTTCTACACATCTGTTGGCTCAACATACTAAACTACCATGGAGTTTGGTTGGGTTTTGTGAGCATAGTGTGCATGACTCAAGCACTCTGGACCATAAATGCATAAGACACAGTGGGTAAACGTTAAAAGGTGCTGTCATCCCTTGAGGATTTCTTCTGCTTCCAACACCTTCAAGGTCATGAAACCCTAGATGATGAGATAGAGAAGCAGTTCCTTTTGTTGGTATATAGACTTTGGATTGCTTCTTCCCATTAAAGAGTTTTGAAGGCTAGCTCAAGCTTTTGGTTCTGACTACTGCCTTTATAACAATGCTTTGCTCTGTCTTCTCTCTTGTTCTTGATCTTGGGGCCAACACTCAAAAATACTAAGAGGAGAAGCAGTTGGAGGCCACCACTTCAAAAAGTGGATTTAATGCCACAGGATCTTCCCTTATGCTGACTGTCTCTTCTTCCCACAACAAGCTAAGTTACAGGAACAGGTTAGTGACAATAGCCTCTCTGCCCTGCATAGCTCCCACAAATACAGAAGGACTCATCCAAGACTTAGCATATCCTCTGGATAAACTTGGGAGAAACCACCTTCATTTGGAACTTGAGGAAGCCACTCCATGTACGATGGACAGCCTTCAGGCTAGCTTCCAGCTCTTCGTGGGTTCACACACTTGGGGCCCGATGACACGAAAACCCAAATTAACCGTTGTGGTTTACCATGTGGAAATGTAGCTACGACAGATAAAGAGAGCATGAACTATAAAAACATCAAGCAGCCCAAATCAAGCTGAAGAGGGGAGCAGCATTTGAAAACTCAGCAGGAGATACATGGCCTCTGAACCCTTCTATAAGCTTGTGAAGACAGAACTCTTTTGTGGTGTTGTTTTTTGACACTAAATTGGGGCTACTATTGAAGTTGGCACCAGAGTTCTGTTGGGTTTATGTTTCTCACTATTTTGATTGAATTTATTTTACAAGTCATTTAATGACCAAAGTTAGAGCGGATCTCCCTCGAGCTACTCATGACTTGGTTATGAAGTTACGACGGCTGATCATGTGATCACAATTTTGGATGCCTGGTCACTGGCTCACCTTTACAGCTCTTTGCAGCATCCTGTGGTCATGTGACCACAATTTGCAATATTTTTTCAGTATGTGTGTGTGTGTGTGTGTGTGTGTGTTCCATTTCCAGCTAGTGCTTCTGATTTCTGGCAAAAAAAAAAAAAAAAAAACGCCCATTGAGGAAAATGGATCTGTTTAACAAGCACCAAACCCCCCCCCCCCGTTGTAACTTGAAATCTGGTCATGTGATGCCTCGACTTACAACCGCAACGACTTACGGCCATAATTCCAGGCTCAATTTGAGTTGTGAGTTGAAGATTACCTGTACTGAGCTTTTATTGGACTGCAAATGGGCAAAAATTAAAATGATTGCGGAAATCTATAAATATAATTTTTGTTATGTTAATTTCCTTTGCCATTTACTGCAAACTTCCCAGCGGCAGCAAATGCCACCTCTTTTGTTCTCAGCATCTAGAAAGTGCCTCAAGTACAGCAACAAAGCAGCTTCTTCCACAGCCTTGAAAATGCCGGTTGGCTGAGCAATTGTTTCAACTTGACTAAAAGTTATCATTTATTCATCAAACATTGCTTGCTTGGGATGACTGCAGCCCAACTTGCCTGCTTAATGGAGCAGGTGCCTCCATGCAGAACAAGTCCCAGCAGACACAGAGGGAAGACATTCTACGTTAGATCAGGGCAAAACATTCTGGAAATTAGGAAAGAAACAACAGGCCAACTTTTTTTAAAACAACACACGAAACACGAGAAAAATAGAAGGGGCCAAATAATTACAACCTAGGACCAAAATTAGAAAAAAAAGGATCACCTGTCACATTAAGCCGTGTCTTGCAGAGTCCTACATTTTGTTTAAATCTCAGATGATGCTGATGTTGGTTTGTAAAACGGAAGTCTCACGAGAGCCCTTGGTGAGAGTGTGTGAATTTTTTTCAACACTTTTTCAGGTATGCAGGTAAGTCCTTGACTTTCAACAGTTGATTTAGTGACCGTTCAAAATTACAACGGCACAGTTACGACCTTTGCAGCATGTGATCAAAATTCAGACAATTGGTAACTGGTTCATACTTACGACCGTTGCTGTGCCCAAAGGTCACATGACCCCGTTTTGCGACTTTCTGGCAAGTCAAATCAGTGGGAAAGCTGGATTCACCTCACAACGGAATTACTAACTTATCAACTTAACAGCTGAAGCAAGAAAGGTCGTAAAATGGGGCAAGTCACTTAATGACCCACTTAAAAGAAATTTTGAACTCAATTGTGGTCGTAAATCAAGGACAACCTGTACTAGGCTGATTAACTCACCCCCCCTTGAAATGTTTAATCTTTATAGAACTGCAAAGAGCTAAAAATAGAACTTATCTTTGCCCAATGGAGATAGATTTTTCTTTATGTTAGATACCTGATTTTTTTAAAAAAATTGGTAGGAACAGATGTTTAAGTAACAAGCCTGTGGCTTATCTGACATGAAATATAGCAGGAGTTAGGTACTGTTGTGGTTTCTCTAGTTATGATGGTGTAGACGCCATTAACTTGAAATTTGATTATGTGCTTTTTGAAGGACAATAGCTATTCTCAAAATTTCTTTCCTAATTTTACTGGTAAATATATTTTATTGATAATTTGAAATTTTTGATAGGTCTTTAAAACCAGTGCATGGTAGGAGTTAAGGCAAGTTGAGGTCCACCTTTAGATAGGCGGTTTTGAACCATTCATTGTGTCTCAGCCTAATCTATTTTCTCAGGCAAGTCAAGACTTAGAAACAACCTGCCTCCAGAAGCAGTAAATGCTCCAACACTGGAAGTTTTTAAGAAGAGACTGGACAGCCATTTGTCCGAAATGGTGTAGGATTTCCTACCTGAGCAGGGGGTTGGACTAGATGACCTCCACGGTCCCTTCCAACTTTACTATTATTATTATTATCGATCATCGCACAGTCAGCCAGATGTTCAGACTGGATTTGGCATTTTGTCTACCTATCGAGTCCTTACCCAGGACCTGGGATAGGCAGATGTGGATGTTTGATGGTATTACAGATATCGTCGCAGGATGGAAGCAGTTCCTAATAAGGCCGCCTTTTGCAATTGACTATTATTATTATTATTATTATTATTATTATTATTATTAAAGAGGAGAATCAAAATCAATAAACAACACTCTCTATTCCTAACGTCAACATTTTTCCAAATTTTCTGAGCATTTGCATTCTCCTCTTTGGTGGAATTGTCATATACAGATTTATAATCTCCAAGAGGGCAAATTTTAAAGATTGGTTGGAAATGCACATTCAACTGTAGACCAACGCAGCCCCTTCTCCCACCTCATTTTTCCAGGTAAGCTTAACCAGTGCACTCTGTGACCGAACAAAAAAAAAAACAAAACAAAAAACTTTCAGGCAGCAAAGAATCACACACCACGGAATACAATTCATATATTATCCAGTTTCACATTCTCAAAGGATATAGCAACTTATTCAACAATCTTAATACAAGCGAGACAGCCATGGTTCAATGTAATACTTAAAGGACTTCCAAATACCAAGCAATAAAATATCAACAAAAAAAAAATAATTGTGCAATTTCTCGTTACTATGCCCGACTGAATCAGTTACAGAAAAAAAGTCTTTCTCTTCAAGCTTTTTAACTAAACATTAAACTTATCTTACAGATTACAGTTTTTTGTTTTTTTTTACTCTTTAATAATTAATTGCACAAAAACCACACAAAATCTTTGCATGATGCATAAATATTTCCTTATTACACATGGTACAAAAATACTCGTACATCTTTGTTCGATATTCCCATAAGGATTGCTGATTTGGCAAGACTGGATTCTTCCCAATCCGAGGGATGTGGAAGAAAAAGGTGAAATAGTTTACAGCTGTTCTATATATAGAAGTTTGACAGAAAAAATAATAACAACAACAACAACAAAAATCCCCAACAACCCTGACAATCGGGAAGGGCAGAAACCCAGTGCATTGTACTTTGGAGAAGAAACTTTTTTATTTCAAATTCTAGTCAAGGCTGAACATGGAAAGATATCCTGGGGAAAGAGGAAGAGTAGAACACGAAGAGAGAGAAGACGAAGTGTTTTTCAAAAGCCAAGTCTTGACAGAAGCAAAATGAAAAAAAGTTTAGTGATCAATAGTTAATCCAAGATCTACTGCTATAGTTACACAAATGCTAGACCCAAAAACGAGCTTTGCACACTCACACACCCACACCAAGTTAAAGTGTTTTAAACTCATGCCAGAGAACATGCAAAACTGATTTGTCTTTTTGCTTCCTTTAGCAAAACTGCATACACAAGATTCGGGATAAGAAAAGTCTGGATATTGCACCGTACACAGCTAGGCCACACTGCGTGCCAGCATCCCAGCTGGGAACACACACGTACACGCCCGCCCGCACCAAGCGGGTGTATCAACAAGGTTGAGTTTCTCCTGAAAGGACTCAAGGTAGCAGGAGGAGAAACTCAGCAACAGGAGGGTGGTGGGGCTTAGCAGATGGAGGGGGGGGGAAGAGTTGGGAGAAGGGCAGCCATGACACCAGGGAAGAGACGGAGGAGATGACGTTCACAGTTTTGGAGGGGGGAAATCCACAGCTTCATTCATAAGATGGCCAAGTGAAGTTGGGCACTTTGATGGTGTCCAGGGAAAAGGCCGAGGGAGGAAACTCTCAAAGACTCCTTCATCCTTCATGCATCAGTCCATGGAGAGACAAGAGGGGGAAACGTGGGCCAAAAGCAGCTCTTGAGGGAAAAAAAGCAAAAGAATATATTATGAAGGCTAACTCCAGATGTCTTTTATCATAGCTCCACCAGCATGCATGGAGGACAGCATCTACCACCAGCTTCCCAGGTGGTTGTCTTGCCAGAGGGCACTCACCTTTCACTGGCTGAAAAGAACCCCACTAGAGAAGATCATGTCTTCTCCACCCACACCCAGGACTCCCATCGGCATTGCAACTGATATACTCACTAAAACTAACAGAACTGACGGGACTTCCATCCTTGTTGGCTAGCGTCAGAAGGAGGGTACCAGCGCATCTAGAAGAAAATGATAAGAGTATGATATGGGAGGAGAACGATGGTCAACCAAAAGCAGGCAGAAACACTCCGCCTAGGATACATTTGTTCCCAAGGCTCAATGATCCTCAAAAAAAACCCAAAACACTATCAACTTATTGCTTATATAGCTTTCATAGTACCAATAGTTCTTTCGGACTGCAGAAGCTCTCCTTGTCCTTCACCTCCGAATGAATTTCTTCACATCTCAAATGATAGACTAGCTATAAGGAGAACATTTTTAAGGCCTTGAAGTCACCTTTGAGGTGATTCCAAAGTTGAAAATATGGCAGCTGTATCATACTAGGTCATCCAGAATCATTCAAGGTCGTCTAGTCTTCTACTCCCAACTCCCCTTGTTACACCCAATTAATATTCTATCATTATTATTATTATTATTATTCACGCTTGTCAACTTTTTTTCCTGCACCTTCTCCTCTTAGCTTTCAGCGCGCTGGGCCTAAATCCCACCCATTAGCCCACCTGCAGGGAAATACATTGAGTCCTGCACTTTGTGAAGAAAAAAAAAAGCAGGGTCACCAATGCAATATGCAAGGTTTTAGTGTTTTAAGTGGTCTTTAAGAAGGAACCAATGAATGTGATTTGGTTGGCCTGCCATTTCCATGCCATTTGGGCCTAAGTAAAAGCCCTCCCAGGTAAACTTGTTTTTCCTAGGTAAACCAGACAGGAAGCAAAACCAGATGAGCTAATCCAACTTCATTGTAAGGCCACATTAACAGAATCTTGAAAATCTGAAAGTACAAAATTCCCATTGTCTCCTTTTCAAAGGGAGAAAACAGAGTGGGTCACTCGGCCCTTTGTCCAGTTGAGGGCTAAGCTCCCTCTTTATCAGCCCGTTCCTTAGCAGCATTTCTTCACCTGTTTCTCAAGGTCTTCTGACATACTATTCCAGACACAGAGAAAAGGTGATTAAAAAGAAAAGTTCCCGTTTTCTTATCATATCCTTAAATCTCCTTTTCTCTCAATTCTTTGCTCTACATCAGTGTTTCCCAAACTTGACAATTTTAAGGCATGTGGACTTCAACTCCCAGAATTCCACAGCCAGCGTTGCTGGCTGTGGAATTCTGGGAGTTGAAGTCCTCATGCCTTAAAATTGTCAAGTTTGGGAAACACTGCTCTACATCATAACTTTGCTACTGTTGACTTTCAGAGTTATTTTTCCTTGGGTGAACATCCTTCAAACAGCCGTATCTGTACTTCTTTGCTAATAAATGCTCCTGTTTACAGCTGTTCTTTGTTTTTCCTCTGTCCCATAATTATCAGTGCATAATCATAGGGCTGATAGATTTTGCATTTTTTTTTAAAGATGTATGGGCATTTGGGGAGAAAAAATTAACACATATAATAGATCAACTATGATGACCATACTTTCTTTGGCTCCAGCTCTCTGCTTAAACCCAGCCAATGTGGTTTGCTCAATAACACAATACCAGCCCAGTCCCACAGCTGCAGGGTCTTTGCAAGCTGCCCATCTGAATGCTTTGCTTCCTTCAGGAAGATCAAAACATCCCCAACAGGCTGCCAGGACTACGTTCAAAGAAGTCCAAGCCCATCGGTTTCCAAGCAACTGGTCCCATCTTTGCCTTGTTCCACTGTGTAAGTTTCTCCTAAAGTTCAATCAAAGTCTATTTCGCTGGAACATAAATCCTTTCAATCTAATGCAGCGGTTCTCAACTTGTGGGTCAGGACCCCATTTGGGGTCGAACGACCATTTCTCGGGGGTCACCAAACAACGCAGTCCGCCATTTTCCCCCCCCCCTTTTCCTTAGCTGTGCTACTCTCTTTTATTCTATTGGCTTTTGAAAGCCAATAGAATAGACTCCCTTGAATAGAGTCTAATTCTATTGGCTTTCAAAAGCCAATAGGAATTGTCCAGGCTGTCTCTGCCCTGCTGAGCCCGCCAAAAGTCCCATTCTGCAAACGGTGCTGCACCAGTTGGATAGTCCTCGACTTACGACCGGTTGGGGGTTGCGGTATTAAAAAGGTTGAGAACCACTGATCTAATGGCTCTTTATGGAAGATCTTCAGAGTTTGGGAGTCCATGTTGCGAAGTCTGCTCTTGTCCTTATTCTATATTTGGGTAGAAAGGGCTGATTAGAATCTATGATTTCTCCCCACCCCCAATTAAAAAGGTCCCTTTTTAAAATTTAAAAAGGTGCCTTTCTATAACCAGGGTTATCTAGAGCCAGAGAAATTGGATTCCAACCAAACTGCTCCAAGGAAATAACTCAACACTAATGTCAATTAGGACATTATTTCAAAACCTCAGTCTATTTTGCAGAATTCGGGTACTCTAGCCCTTGTGAATTACATTGCATTTGCTTCCATTTTTAATTCAGTCCTTACATCACTGGAAGGGAACACTGTTGTTAGTGTGGACTGGAGTTTAAGGAAATGGCACATCCTCAACATGTTTTTAATAGCTCTCCATAGTTGTTAAAACACAACCCTAAATGAACTTTAGTTTGAGCACGTAACACGTATAGGAACTTTATAACCTCCTATTGCAAACTGCCAGGAAGATTGTAGCCACCCACGCTCTAGTTTTCCTTTAAAAAGGGAGATGTTATTAATCAGTTTGTGATCAGCACTTGATACTTTTCAAAGCATTTCCAGGGATACTTTTCGGATCCCGAGAAGCACCTTTTGGTTCAGAGGTCCAGGAATTTTTCATAATAATCTGCTTGTATCATTTTTCACATATTTGCCAATCTCGTTTTCCGATCATCAACCATCTCCCAAAGCTGAGGAGACATCCATTTGATAGCCACCAGCATGTTATGGTTTCACATCGGCTTTTTGGCTCTCTCCTCCCAACTGTGGTTCAAAAGCACTTCCCGGATTCCTAAATCCATCTCCCCCGCACATCTGGAATCAGTTTTGGCCATTCAGCTTCAGCAGCTGAGTGAGAGAAGGATTCGTCCCGGCCAACCGGTGTGATGCTCTTGAGTGCTATGGTGGCATTCAAAGGAAGCACCTGGGAAGACAAATGTCTATGGAGATTCTCAGCCCTCCAGGTCACCATTGTCCCAAGAAGCTTCTTCAGTTCTGACTGAATGGTGGGGAATGGAAGGATTTAGTCCTTCAGTCAGAACTGAAGAAGCTTCTTGGAATGAGAAGTGAAACCTCTTCAAGGAAAAACAAAGGAAGTCCCGTTGTCCCTTGAAAAAGCACCTTTGGGACCTGGGAAAACAGATGCCCTCAAGCAGTGGCCTTGATGCCACTTCCTCCAACGAAGCTTCTCCCCAACAGTTTCTGAATACATACAATATTTCAATAATTCAACCCACCATACAATGCTTTTATAGTCCATTTCTTACCTCTGCACACAAGTAATCAGTTCTAAAACAAAAAGGAGCTTGTTTTAGACACCTATCTCCAGCCCTGCAGTAGAAGAGGCATTCCTCCCCCCCCCCAGGTAAAGAGAGGATGCCTCTCCTTAAGGTGGACGGTTGCAGTTTTCACTGCAGATGTAAAATTCTGCTGCTCAGTCAGGCCATTCTTGGTTTTAAATATTGTCACGGCTAGCCCCTTCCAATCATTACTTATTCCACGGTCCCTTAATGTACACATTGTACCAGATTGTTTACATTTCCTTTAAGGGTATCATCCCATCAAGTCAGAATTTTACTCGTTTTGGAAGGAGGGGGAGAAAGAAAGAGAGGGAGGGGTAGAGTGTGAAAGGAGATTTTTTCCAGATTCCAGCCAAGGCTGAGGTTCCCCCTTCCCTGGCGGAATTCATAGCGTGACTGATATATGTGCCAGTTGACTGTGTGGAAAAAATTAAATCCATTGTGTGCTGTTGCTGCTGTTGTTACTACTACTACTACAACACCGCCCTCCCCAGCAGGTGAGTGTGGTGAGTGAAACAAGGTAGTCGGGAGGCCACCCCCACCCCCGACACCGCCAGGTGACAGGAAACCTTCATGGGTGGTTCCTTTCCCCCCCCCAGGTAGGATAAACCCATCGGTGCTCCATGGGGAGCGCTCGGAATATAAGAAGTGACATGCTGTGGTGCCCGTATCGTATGCGCCAAGTTGGGCAGAGGTGGGTTAGAGAAACGCCTGGTTTTTCACGTTGCTTGGGCTATGGGTGGGTGAATAGCGTGGAGGCCCATGCATTGGGTTGCTAAGGAACAGATGGGGCAAAAACAAAATAAAAGGATAAAGCTTGCGGAAAGTTGAAAAAAAAAAAAGAAGAACAAAAAAACCCACTGTGCCCCAAATGGCAGAGAGATGTTTTCGTCTTACCAGCCTGTTCCAGACGGGCCCATCCTGAAAGGCCTCTGGGAATGAAGCTGTTCTACAGCTACTCCAACTCTAGCAGGGATTAGTCAGGACTATGAGGTCCCACCTTTCCAGGGCCAGCTCTGAGCTTCAGGGCTAGCCTGCGTAGGCATCTTGGCTGCAGGTCACTGAAGACATCAAAGGAGGGGTCATTTCAACCAATAGCTGGCCATTGTGGGAGCCCCTCGGGAGGGGGAAAGAGGCTTGTTTCATTGGTAGAGGCCACTGAATGTGACCAGTAGACTCTGCTGTGGAAGATTTCTAGGTGAGGTCAGGGGGGGGGGAAACCGGTCCCGAGAGGCAATAAACGTTTTGAGTTTTCAGTTTCCGTAGTTCATTAGAACAAGGTTCAAGGAATCTCCATCTTTGGAGCTTCTCTCCCTGAGGGACCTGGGGACCTTCCTTGCCCAGACACTTCTCACATCATTGAAACTGGGGTATATTTTTTTTTTCAATAGAGGAAAAATATCAGTACTCTAGATGATCTAACTAGCCGAACCTCCCTTGAAGATGCTTGTTTTTCACCAGGCAGTTGTCCTTCAGATACATCACCTTTCAATTCTCATTGTCCTTAGCCAGTCTCTTCCCATTCCAAACATCAGGACACTACCAGGGTCAGGGTAGATTAACCCATTATGTGCAACCCATCCACTGGCTGATTCATACATCGTACTGAGTCATAGAATGGCTTGCTCTAAGCTGACAGCATTTGTGAACGTTGTCACCAAACCTTATCAGACAAGTTAAAACAAATCATGGCTTAGTGAGTTTAGCCACAGGTTGGTTAGGATTTACTTATGGAGCAATTAAAAAATGCAAAATAATTCAAAGATCAGGGTGTCAACCCGTCTATAGATATGACAGTTGGGTCAGATCATAGGAGTGTTATTCCCCCATAAAGCATCACTTAGGGTCTTCAACGAAATGGATGACCAAGAGTTTGCACCCAAGAGTTGTCCATTTCATTTCCTTGAACTCTGACCCATAAATAACCTCCCCATTCACTATACCGAGCAGCAATGAAAAAGAACTCCTCAATTGATTAAACACGTAGCAGAGGGGTTAAGCAAATATCCCTGTTACGCTCCTGTCGAAAAATCAAGAAAATGATTCTTCCATTATTTCATGAAGACACCGAAATTTTAGCCTGCGTGGTGGGTGGAGCTCTGAGCTGCCTCTTGCTTAGTAAGGAGAATGAAGTAATGTTTAACTCAAAAGACTTTTATGAGTAATACATTCATTTGTTTTAAAGGACAAACCTGCAGACTTCAGGTATGAAGAAAAATCGTAGCCTCAAGAATGAGAAACACGGGACCTGCCAATGGCCTTTAACCGGCATGGCACTGTTTTGAGGCCAAGTCTTTAAATTTTGCATGCTCAGTTTTGCTTAAATTTTGCAAAGCTCGTCCTTTACAGCCCCCTATGTTTAGCCAACAGTTACTATAAACTCTGCATCGTTTCTGCAGAACTGTTCTGCGTTCTCTAAACAGCGGGCCAGGGAGATGTAAACATATAAGTGAACATGGAGAAACTTGTCAGAAATGACGCTTGTGCAGTGTTCCTTTATTAAAGAAATTGAAGCAAGACCATTCTCCAAACTCTTTTGACAAAGTGGAACTTTTTTTTTTTCTACAAAAAAAAAGCTCCTTTCTCATTTCTTATCTGAGTTTTGCTTTTTTAGATTTTAATCCTAAAACAAGGATTGTTTGTAATGGCATCCATGTGCTTGTACATACACCCACACGTAGCTTAGGGAGTCTTTTTGAGGTGAAGCTTCTAATAAAAAAAATTTTGCAATCAGGAAATGAATGTGGATTTACTAAAATTCCCCTTAAGGGATAACTCTGACTTCATGGAATCAGAGTGAGAGAGAGAGAGAAAAAAAAAATTATAATCTGTAAAAACAGTTATTTATTCCCCCTTTTGGACATTGTGCATTTTATCTATTTTACCCTGGTTTGTATACATTCTCATGGCTTGGTCACCATGCTAAACTATGTTCTTCCTTCCTTAAAACGTCTGCAGAGCAATGTATCCTTAATTCCTCTGATGGAGGAGAAAGGAGTCAGACCATACAAGAACAGACTTTCTTGTTTTGGCAGCAGAACCAAAATTAACAGTAGTTTAAAGGCTTTTGGAGGGAAGAAGTTCAAGCTGACTTCATACCATTCTTTGCCAGATTGAAAGAGGCCTTGTTCTCAACAGGGAGCTCTTTGGATCGGACAGTATCCAGAAATGGAACATGACCGTCTCCTTCTTATTCATCCCTCCAACTGTGGGGTCACCTTCCTGACTTCTCTCCCTTTGAACTTGAAAAGGTCAATCCTTTTCGCCGCCCCCACAAGAGGTAAACATGCGTTGACTTTCCCGTCAACCGCTATTTGGAACGGGATCAAAATGCTCATCCTGATACAGTCTGAGAAGTTAAATAAAGTAATTCACTTTTGTTTCTCGAGGGGCTGATTCAAATCCTCCGTCCTGCTGGAATAGGGCGATTCATTCTGAGCTAGTGTTCTTTTAGTGCTTGGATCCCTTGGAGCAGGATGTCCAACCTTAGCAACTTTTAAGACCTGTGGATTTCAATTCCCAGAACTCTCCAGCCAGGATAGCATAGCTGGCTGGGGAATTCTGGGAGTTGAAGTCCACAAGCCTTAAAAGTTGCCAAGGTTGGACATCCCTGCCTTAGAGGTCTGCTTAGTTAATTTCCTCTAAAAAAAAAAACCTGCTTGAGAAAGCAAACAGACCACTGTTTCCCTCCATTTTAAGGCATATTTGGAGGATTGAAGCTTTCTCCTTGAAGATGCAGGCTACTTTGGGTTAAGAGGGGGAAGAATCCCTTGGATCCTCCACTCTCCAGCCACTTATCCTGGGAAGAACCCTCTGCAGGAAATAGTCTGGAAACAGAGATGTTCTGTCCCTAGCAAGAGGGGGTTTCACACCAAAAGAAAAACAACAACATTCAATTGTGAACTCACCTGAGCGTGAAGAGCAGCGGCGGCAGCTGCAGCAGCTGGATAGGTGAAAGCTGCATGTGGAATGGCCGGGGTTAGCTCCGTGGTGTACAGGGGGTAAGGAGCCCATGCTTCTGGAGATGCTGGGATCAGGGCAGCTCCAGACAGATCATCTAGAAGAGGAGAAGCAGCAGCAGGTCAGCCATTCTCCCATTGGGAAGAAAGCCAGCACGGAGCACCTTACAGCACGCAGGGGGAAAAGGAGGACAGGTAGAGGAAAGACAACCTCAAAGTTGGTGGAGAAATCTTTGGAGCCTAGCACCATTTTTGAACTGCCTCCTTGGTCTTTGAGAGCTACAGGAAGTTCAGCTTGTCACGTCACAAGAGGGGTGAACCCAAAAGTATTAACTCTTTCTTTGGGCGAAATGATGGCCTTTGGCAACATCTGGAAATGTGGTGGCTGTTTGTGCATGGTCCAACTGATAGAAATGAACGGGAAAAAAATAAGCGATTCATGCAGGCATCTTCAACAGCCCATCCCAGACCCAAACATCCTCTCCCCAATTCTGCAGGAAGGGTCTCCCACCCAGCTCTGCTTAGCACCATCCTGTAAGACTGGCCCAGCACAAGAAGAGCTGTCCTATTCCGTTCATAAACCTCCCACAATGTAGACTTTTGACATCTCACAACATCAGGAAATGTCTGTTGCCTGGGGGCTACTTTTTAAGAGGTGGTCCTTCTGAACAGCATGAGGATGCCAGATGAGAATGACCAGCTAAGGCTGGGTTTCCAGGGCTTACTTTGTGTTTGAATTAACACTACTCTGTCACTGAGTTCCAGCTATTGTGTTCCAAGGAAGCTCTAGTAGCCAGAAGCCACCTTCAAAGAATTGGAGAATGCCAGGATAGCCACATCCTAGGGATTGGAGAAGATCAGGCAACCCAAGGACTCAAGAGTCCTCCCATTTGCACCAACTATGGAAACTGAATGTAGGGTTGTCTCATGCATGTGGAAAAAATAATGCAAAAACATCATTGTGGGACTCAGAGGTATTTTTCCAAAGGCAACTAGACTTTGTTTTGTTTTTTTTTACTTAAAAACGTTTCGCTTCTCATCCAAGAAGCTTCTTCAGTTCTTAGTGAATGGTCAGAACTTAGTCAGAACTATAGAAGCTTCTTGGATGAGAAACAAAACGTTTTTAAGTAAAAAAAAACAAAACCCAAGAAAGTCCAGTTGGGACAGCTGTGACTAGGATGATTGACAATCCCCACAGACATCATAGTGGGGCACACTAGGAATGTGCACACAGACACTTTCACATGCCTTCCCAGAGACCCCCCACCCCAATCCCCCCTTCTTGTTTATTGACTTTCCCCTCTTGCTCCTTACAAGGATCTCGTGCAATGAAGTGTGCGCCTAGGGCTGGGTGGAGGTTGGTGGGGTTTGGTGTGCCCATCAGCTTGCTTTTTGCCATCTTGGTGTTGGCCTTAGCAAACTCTAACCGCAGCGTCTGGGGATTCTCTGGGTCGAAGCGGATCCCCTGCAGCAGAAGGACAGGAGGAGAGGGTTACAAGAAGGGGAAGAAATTGCATTTGCTTGTGTCTGTCTGTCTAATTTATCTATCTATCTATCTATCTATCTATCTATCTATCTATCTATCTATCTATCTATCTATCTATCTATCTATCTATCTATCTATTGTTTGCTGCATCTGTCTGTCTGTCTATCTATATTATCTATATCTATCTATATATCTATCTATCTATCTGTCTATCTATCTATCTATCTATCTATTGTTTGCTGCATCTGTCTGTCTGTCTATCTATATTATCTATATTATCTATCTATCTATCTATCTATCTATCTATCTATCTATCTATCTATCTATCTATCGTTTGCTGCATCTGTCTGTGTCTGTCTGTCTACCTATATTATCTATCTATCTATCTATCTATCTATCTATCTATCTATCTATCTATCTATCTATTGTTTGCTGCATCTGTCTATCTATCTATCTATCTATCTATCTATCTATCTATCTATCTATCTATCTATCTATCTATCGTTTGCTGCATCTGTCTGTGTCTGTCTGTATCTATATTATCTATCTTATCTATCTATCTATCTATCTATCTATCTATCTATCTATCTGTCTGTCTGTCTGTCTGTCTGTCTGTTTGTTGTATCTATCTATCTATCTATCTATCTATCTATCTATCTATCTATCTATCTATCTATCTATCTATCTATCGTTTGCTGCATCTGTTTGTGTCTGTGTCTGTCTATCTATATTATCTATCTTATCTATCTATCTATCTATCTATCTATCTATCATCTATCATTTGTCGCATCTATCTATCTATCTATCTATCTATCTATCTATCTATCTATCTATTGTTTGCTGCATCTGTCTGTGTCTGTGTCTGTCTATCTATATTATCTATCTTATCTATCTATCTATCTATCTATCTATCTACACACACACAAACACACACACACACACACACACACACACACACACATATCTCCACAGGTGAGTGATTAATGGAATAACAGTACAACTGATTAAATAAACAGCAACAGTATTGTGCTTGTAAAGCATGGATGAAACTGGGCCTTTCTTAGAATTGCTCAGAAATCATTTTTTCTCTCCCTTTTTTTGTCTTAAAACCCTATTAAGACTCTGGACACCTATTCTGTACTTTAAATCTACCCCCTCCCCCCAAAAGCAAAAATTCAGATCCAACCACTTGCATGTGCCTGCTGTGGTCAAAATATTTAAATTATATGGGGCTCACCCTCCACCTCCCACGCTGTCTGCCAATTTCAATTTAGGGACACCAGTATGCTTAGGGGGAAGCAACCTTGCCTTCCAGGTACAGGCCAATAAAGATTTATTATTTATTAAATCTGTTTGCCACTCATCTCAGTACACCCCTCCCCTTGCATCATCAGTTTAATAATATCCATGTGAAAAGCTGCAGAGTGTTTGACTGGATATACAATCTCCGAGGTGGTTTATTATCACTGCTGCAGCAAATTCCATGTTAACTTAAGATCATCTTCCTTTTCCTGTAATGCAGTGTTTCTCAACCTTGGTAGCTTTAAGATGTCTGGACCTCAGCTTCCAGAATTCCCCATGGCTGTCTGGAGCATGGCATGACAAGGGTGGTTAGGGAATTATGGAAGTTGGACCATATATCTTAAAGCCACCAGGGATGAGAAGCACAGCTGTAACAGACGTTGACTTACTGAAATCATTTAGAACACTGCTTTGCCATCTTTTTAGTTTAGGAGTCAATGAAAATGTTTAGTATAATCTTCCCATTTACTCCTCTATGACACTGGTAGTCCAGTGTGTGTGGTTCTACCCACTTGGTTCTTATCAGTTCTACTCTTCTGTGTTTATGACACACATCCATTGAGTAGCAGGAAAAAGACATCTCGCCTGTCAGTCAGGGTGACTAAGAAAGGAGCAGAAAAGATATGGTAGTTTTGCCCTCTGTGTTGAACTGGGGCCATCGCCCTAGGACAGTGGTTCTCAACCTGTGGGTCGGGACCCCATTTGGGGTCGAATGACCATTTCACGGGGGTCGCCAAACAACGCAGTCCGCCATTTTTTTCCCCCTTTTCCTTAGCTGTGCTCCTCCCTTTTATTCTATTGGTTTTTGAAAGCCAATAGAATAGACTCTCTTGAATAGAGTCTAATTCTATTGGCTTTCAAAAGCCAATAGGAATTGTCCAGGCTGTCTCTGTCCTGCTGAGCCCGCCAAAAGTCCCATTCTGCAAACGGTGCTGCACCAGTTGAGTATCCTCGACTTACGACCAGTTGAGTAGTTGTGACCGGTTGGGGGTCGCGGCATTAAAAAGGTTGAGAACCAGTGCCCTAGGAGTTGAGCAATTAGCAAAGTTCGGACGTTTTTGAGCACTGATGCCACGAGTATTAATACTCACATTCAAAGCATTCTTTGCAGCTTCTGCACCAGAACGGCTGTCGAAAGTAACAAAGCCTACTGGCTGGAAAGACAAATACTTTGAGCTACATGCATGTACATAATCCCGATTGCAGAAACAGAAGTCAAAGGGTGGTAAAGAAAGCTCTCCTATGAAGCCCACCAAGAGTACATCTACAGGGTACTTATAGAGTCTTCATTCATCTCTGGAAAAGCCACCGAACAGGCAGCCTGCTAAAAAAATCTGGAGTCCCAGATATATTTCTTCATTTCCATCGTGTTTCCATCTCAGCCACGGGCTATTTCTTACAGCCACCACCCCATGCATTGTTACCCTTCTCCAGGCAGGAGAAACAGCTTTTAACCTGTGGCCCAACTGGTTAAGGATGAAGCACCATCATTTGTATGGGTAGCTTTTTCCAGACAGGATCCTCCAGAACAGATATTATTGGAGTGCAACAACACATCTGGGGGGCACTGAGTTGGCCAAGCCAACTAGAACAACACTATGTGATCTTCACCAGATCTGATGTCAAAAAAATGCCCAGGTAGTTGGGCTATTTTGATAGCAGGTAGAACATCTCCTCTAAGGATGGGTCTCTCACTGCAGAGGGGATGATTTAGGACACTGTTTCCCAAGCTTGGCAACTTCCAGATGTGTAGACTTCAACTCTCCAAATTCCACAGCCAGCACAGCCATTGATGAGAATTCTGGGAGTTGAAGTCCACGTATCTGGAGGTTGCCAAGGCCTGGAAACACTAACCTAGTTGGCCAACCTTTGGACAGGTGCTTTGGATTGCTTAATTGAAGCATCAGCTATAATCCTGCAAGGCTCCTTGGCCTTTTCCCTTAGGACAGGGGTGTCAAACTGCCGGCCCATGGGCCGGATGCATTATACCAAAACTGTGCCCACCCCATTGCCAGCAATGGCAAAAAAGTTATGATATGTCGTGACATTTCACGTGAGATTGTGAGTTTGACACCCCTGCCTTAGGTGGTGAACTGGTCCTTGATTTAAGCTGCACTGTGTGGCTGCCAGAACAGGAGCTAAGGAGAGGCGTTACCTGTTTGGATGTTAGTTTGATCAGTGATCCTTCATAACCCTAGAGAGAGGAATCAGTCAATTAATTATCAGTTGCCTTAAAAAAGGAAAATAAAAAAATAGCAAGGTCCTTTTGAGTAGCACACGTCTCTGGTGGACCTAAGGAACAATTTAAACTAAAATGCAGCTACTACTCTGACCATATCCCCCCCACACACACATACATTTGTCAACTATTGTGTTTTGCTAGTTGTAATACAATTGTGTAACACAATTCTTGGTGTTCTCTGAGCTTGGTTGTTTTCTTGCAGACGTTTCATTACCCAACTAGGTAACATCATCAAATATGTCCAAGACAGCAACCAAACTCACAGAGCACCAAGGACTCCACAATTCAGCCTGAACTCCATGTATTTCCTTCTACTGTAATACAAATTTCAGGCAAAATTCCCTTCTGTAAAAAGACAAAACATTGCTTAATCTATACACTAAAGAATGTAGAGTCGGTAGGAAGTGTCCGCTTCCTACTGAATCAGACCAGTGGGTGGATTTGGTTCTGCATCAGTTACGCCAGAGATGGAAAGCAAGGCACCTCCAGATATTCCAAACTACAACTCCCAAATATGTCTCCTTATTGCTCTGTTATGGTCTCTGGGTTGGATACGAGTTGTAGTTCAGAAAAGTCTGGATTCCAGCAGATTATGGAACCAGGGTAGATTGGGGACCTTTCTCTTTTCTTACGTTAAGATTAATGTATATTTGGGACTTTAATAAGCAAAGCAACAGGGCTGATCCAACAGCATGGATGTGACTCAAGGCAGGACAACTGAACTTTGTGGAAACTTGGGACAATCTTGGTGGGACTCCCTGATGGGATTCCTTTTCAGCCTTCTTGCTGATGTCTTAAGAGTCAGCTTGGAACCTTCAGTACAGTAATCCTTGACTTACAGGCATTTGTGTAGGCCAGGGGCGGGCAACCTTGGCTCTTTCATGACTCGTGGACTTCAACTCCCAGAATTCCTGAGCCAGCCACGCTGAGGGGAAAAGGAGAGGTTTCCAAGCTGAGCCATGCTGGCTCAGGAATTCTGGGAGTTGAAGTCCACGAGTCATAAAAGAGCCAAGGTTGCCTACCCCTGCTAGCTCATTGGTGGACAACTATGGCAGCTTTAAGACTTGTGGACTTCAACTCCCAGAATTCCTGAGCCAGCATGGCTCAGCTTGGAAACCTCTCCCTTTCCCCTCAGCATGGCTGGCTCAGGAATTCTGGGAGTTGAAGTCCACGAGTCATAAAAGAGCCAAGGTTGCCCACCCCTGGTGTAGGCATTGAAAAAAATGACTTGTGATCCTTTTTCCCACTTATGACCATTTCAGCATCCCCATGGTCACGTGATCAAAATTCAGACGCTCCTATTTATGATGGTTGCAGTGTCCCAGGGTCACCTGATCCCCTTTTGCTGCCGTCTGAGAAGCAAAGGTCAACGGGGAAGCCAGATATATCTAACAACCACGTCACCCAGTTAACAACCACAGTGATTCACTGAACAACTTGCAGCCAGAAAGGTTGCAAAATGGGGCAAAACTCACTGAACGACTCTCTTGCTTAACAGCAGAAAAAATGGGGCTCGATTATGGCCATTAGGTCAAGGACAACCTGCATGTGGAGAAGATGCTCCACCATCGGACAAAAGGACCTCCCCAGTTAGACCCAGACATTGGCCTTTTTGTTCCTGCTCACCTTAAATGGCCGGAAAAGGAGGTACAGCTCTCGCGGTTTGATGTCCACTGGAAGGCCGCTCACAAAAAGGGTCCGTACCTGGGGGAGATAGAGAACCACATGTCTCAACAGAGTTGAAGATCATTGGATAGTAAGTTGCTAGTCCTCAACTTACAACCGTTCATTTAGTGACTGTTCAAACTTACGCCGGCACTGGAAAAAAATGACTTATGACCCTTTTTATACTGCATCCAGTTTTGGTCACCATGATGTAAAAAAGATGTTGAGACTCTGGAAAGAGTGCAGAGAAGAGCAACAAAGATGATCAGGGAACTGGAGGCTAAAACATACAAGGAACGGTTGCAGGAATTGGGTATGTCTAGTTTAATGAAGAGAAGGGCGAGGGGGGACAGGATAGCAGTGTTCCAATATCTCAGGGGCTGACCCAAAGAAGAGGGAGTCAAGCTATTCTCCAAAGGGCAGGACAAGAAGCAACAGATGGAAACTCATCAAGGAGTGAAGCAACCTGGAACTAAGGAGAAACTTCCTGACAGAACAATTAACCAATGGAACAACCTGCCTCCAGAAGCAGTAAATGCTCCAACACTGGAAGTTTTTAAGAAGAGACTCGACAGCCAGGACTAGATGACCTCCAAGGTCCTTTCCAACTTTATTATTATTATTTTCACACTTACAACCATTTCAGCATCCCCATGGTCAGGTGGTCAAAATTCAGACACTTGGCAACTGACTCATAGTTATGACGGCTGCCATGTTCCCGGGGTCATGTGATCCCCTTTTGCGATCTTCTGACAAGCATATGGGGAGCTACATTCACTTAAACCTGCAGAGATTTGCTTCAGAACGGTGCCAATACAGATCGTAAAATAGAGCAAAACTCGCTTAACAAATGTCTCACTTAGCAACATAAATTTGGGGCTCAGTTGTGAACTGTAGTATTTACGAGAGTGAAGGTCCTTCAGATATGAGATCATGATCTGATGAATCCAGAAACAGGACGAATTTGGGGAAGGGTATTCTCCATCCATGTGGAAACAAATGTTCTCATCCGAGTCACATGAAATTGAATCCCATCTGACTCAGGGTCAAGCTACACAATGTTAGATACACAACAAATATTTTCGAAAAAAGCTACGCAACAAAATGATTCATTTTCATCGAGACAACAGCAAGCAGAGAAGGCAATTTTATCTCGGCCCACCCCCACTAACAAAAATGACCCCTCCAACTCCCATAGGTAGCTTTAAGAGGTATAACATCTCCCACTGATACCAATAAAAGCTTTTCTACTTGCAGCTATTTAATACAAACCACACCTGGAGAAAGAATCAAATTGCAATCTTGACAAAACGCTTTCTTCTGGACCTAGATAGGCATTTTAAAAACCAACTTCCCATGTTTAAAATAATCTAATATTGGGCTCTTGTAAAATCGAGGAGTCCGCTGATCTGATGCACAGAGATTTGGCCTCCTTCCTACTGGGAGTTTAAAAGTTGCAAGAAGTAGATCAGGGGTCTTCAAATTTGGCCCTTTTATGACTTGTGGACCTCAACTCCGAGAATTCCTCAGCCAGCGTGCCTGGCTGAGGAATTCTGGGAACTGAAATCCACAAGTCATCAAAGGGCCAAGCTGGAAGACCTCTGAAGTAGATACTCATTCGTTATTCATTGGAGAATTCTGGAAGTTGAGGTCCACATAATTTCAGGTTGCCAAGGTTGAGAAACACTGTTATAGTGTTATTCCAATTATGGATAGAGGGATTCTGAAATTTTAGCTTGAAAAACTAAAATTTGCTGCAGAACCTAGATAGTGCCCTGGCTTCTATAAAAAGTGGTTTTCTGGTGCCACATTTCCAGTTTTAAGGATAAACAATTCAGCTCAAAGGGACATTTCTTGCTGCTACATCCAGTTTTCTCTTACCAGATGAAATGCCCTCTCATCCGTTCTTCACAATAAGGATGTTTGATCAGAGATATTCTTAATGGCAACTTTGGCTATTTTGCTTCTGTTAATCTACTCTCAGCTGAGAACAACCAACGTATCTTGAAATTAAACATGAGCCCTTTTTTTTAAACTATACACAGCTAATGTTATTCTTTTTTGAAGAACATTCATTCTAGCACAGCAACTATTTCTTGAATAAGATTATATGATACGTCAAACTTGTTTGGAAATTGCCAAGACTTCTTGTTTAGATTTTATGAAAGGTTTTCCAAATGTTAACACTTTTTGAAATGCTTCTGAGAATCTGGTAACTCCTCAAGTACCAGTTTAGGTTTTTGGCCGTGCTTCTTTGTGCAGCATTTTTTAAACTGCTGCACAATTAAAAACGACTCTTTTTAGGAGCATTATTTGATGTCTAATTGCAATTTCTGACAAATCTGAGCATAACTCTCATAGCTATATTCTCTCCCCCAAAGCCCAAGACTTTTGACGCCATCCCCTGTTGTGCGTTGATCTAAGAACTAGCTTTGTTTCTACCTAGCCCTTGAAATCTAAATAGCAAGACTTGGACCACATGTTGTTCACATGGCTTTACTCAGAGGAGATGACAATCTCCTGGCCTGCTGTACGATCTGACGAAATCTTTGCTTCTAGGAATGCAGTTAATCAGTTTTGCTGCATGGAGAATAGAGGCACATCTTTTTAGCCTCCAAAACCACTTGCCAATTTTGCTATCTTCTCCTATAGACTAGGGACAACTGCTTTCTGGACCAAGCAAGACATATACATGTGCACAAACATGGGATCCAAAAGAACGTTGAGGCAGAATAGGGGAGAGGCAAATACAAATAGCAGAAATCTCTAATCAGGACATGCTCTTGATAGGGTAAAAACTTGGACTGAAACGTGACATCTATTTGTTCACCTGATACAAATAAGCCACAATTTACTAAAATGTGGTTTGCTTAATTTATCCCTAACCTTAACTCTATTCACATAACCCTCAGGTTCAAAAATGGTTTGATTTGCCCTGTAGTTTGAAGCTTTGTGAGGAAGGAACTGAGAGAAACAGGATGTTTCAGTTATGGATAGTTTAGGAACGCAGCTGCTTAACAAGAGCCCTGGCATCCTCAGGACCTGGAAAGAGGTAAATGCAACCTTCCATTTAGGCCCTGATTGGGGTAGAACATGAGTGTTCCTCAAATATGCCTGCCCTGGATGCAGCTAAAGTCTGCTGTTGATGTTCTCCCAAGCTTTGTCTCATGTCCTGAGACACAATGCAGCTGGAAGCACTTGACGCGAGGCAGATGGAATGCTGAACTGCACCCGTCAACTTTAAATATCTAGACTTATAAGGCCCTGCGCAGTATCAAAACATACCCAGAGCTTGCAAAACAAAGTTGTGGGAAGGAAAACACTTGGGAACTTAAAAAAGAAAAGGTTAGCCGTTAACACCATGTTTTAAAATCACTCTCCCTAGAGATCGGCAGCTTAATGAAGCCCCGTCTTTATGGAGGGTTCATCTGCCTTAGCCGAAAAAAAGCAAAACAAGTTCTCTTGTAATTTGAGAAAGGTTGAAAGATTTGGAATATGTTGATTAGATAACTTCTAAACTTTTAGGAAGGGCTAGACAGCCAACAAAGATTTTAACTGGTTTTCCTGCACATGGAGGAAAGTTTGGCTAGATGTCCCTTGTAGCCCTTTACAACTTCATAACTTTCTGATTATATTAGAGATAGCTGCTAACAAACTAAACCATTTCTATATCATTACAGAGAGTTAGTGGCTGCTGTGTCGTTCCAAAAATCAGTGTAAAAGGGCCATAGCTTAATAATAAAGGGCCTACTTCACATACTAAAGATCTTGTTTCAGGACCGATTGATGGTCTGTGGAACGATTTGCCTCCAGATATTGTGGGTGCTCCAACACTGGATGTTTTGAAGAAGAGATTTGTCTAAAACCTTGGCTCTTTTATGACTCGTGGACGTCAACTCCCAGAATTCCTGAGCCAGCATGGCTCAGCTTGGAAACTCTCCCTTTCCTCTCAGCATGGCTGGCTCAGGAATTCTGGGAGTTGAAGTCCACGAGTCATAAAAGAGCCAAGGTTGCCTGCCCCTGGTATAGGATTTTCTGCTTGAGCAGCAGGTTGGACTAGATGACCTCCAAGTTCCCTTTCAACCCTGTTATTCTGTTAAGCAGCAAAAGGTTCTCAATGGTTTCCTAGTGTAAACTAACCAAGGCTTAATCTAGTGACTTGAGAAGAATTACAAGTGAAGAACTCTGCTTTCTCTGACGGTTGACGAACAGAACCAAGAGAGGTGCTTAAACCTGAACAAACAAGTTGAATTATGATTAAAGAATCCTGATCCGTTTTTTGCGGATTTCAATCCAGAAGGAAAGTTGAGTGTATCCTGGCAGGTTTCAGTACTTGGACTTGCTTTCTGTTGAGACCGAGCAGTTAAATTCCCAATCACTGATAATAGTTATTGATATTGATAAGGGCTTATGCAGTTCAGTGCTTTTGTGCTGGATTATGTTCTCTCCTGTTTTCAGGGTGAGGACCAACCCAGGAACAAAGCAGCTTCCAGGTGGGTATCAAGGTCACTTGATGTGTTAATACCACTTTACAAGGTCTTGGTAAGGCCACACTTGGAATACTGCATCCAGTTTTGGTCAGCACGATGTAAAAAAGATGTTGAGACTCTAGAAAGAGTACAGAGAAGAGCAACAAAGATGATTAGGGGATTGGAGGCTAAAACATAAGAGGAACGGTTGTTGGAATTGGGTATGTCTATTTTAACGAAGAGAAGGACGAGGGGAGACATGATAGCAGCCTTCCAGTATCTCAGGGGCTGCCACAAAGAAGAGGGAGTCAAGCTATTTTCCAAAGCGCCTGAAGGCAGGACGAGAAGCAACGGATGGAAACTAATCAAGGAGAGAAGCAACCTAGAACTAAGGAGAAACTTTGCTTTATGGTTTATAACAGGACATGAATCCAGAGTTAATTTTCCAAGTGCCTCTGAGGTATATATGATGTTTCACCCAGCATCAGCCAGATGCTGATGTTAACATTGTCCTGTTTCTTGTAGGGCCAGGAAGTTTTTGCAGGTTGAGAAATGTGAAGCCATGATTCT